TTGAGAACCACTGGGCTAGGTGGAATAAAATCCCACAATTTTAATATTGATTTTATAGCTTTTTCTTTTCTTTTTTTAATTGATTCTTTCCTTTCCCCCCTTTCTCTGAATTGTTTCCCTTCCTCCCTTTTTCTTCCTTTCCACTGCTTTTGCTTTTTAGCAATTACAAATAACCGTATATCAAAATATTAGGGTTAGTGTTTTATAGAGATTGCTGGTGATTTCTTAAGATAGTGATGGCGAATCTTTTAGAGACCGAGTGCCCAAACTGCAACCCAAAATCCACTTATGCATCGTTTGGTGCCGGGTGGGTGTGGCCCATTGGGTGGGTGTGGCCCAGTGGGTGGGCGTGGCTGTGGTGGTAACAGCAGACTGGGTGGAACTAAAAAGTTCAATCAATCAATTCCAACTTTGCAAGATCTTTTTTTTTCCGCGAGAAGTTGAAATTGACTGATTGATTGAACCTTTTTTTTTTTTTTTTTTTTTTGGTACACAGCAGCGGAGACCTAAAGCAAAAAGGTTTTATAAAACCCAGCTGAAGGCCTAGGACTGGGGCGACAGCACGCATGCCCACAGAGAGGGCTCTGCATGCTTCCTCTGGCACCCATGTCATAAATTCGCCATCACTGTCTTAAGACAAGTGGATGAACCAAGTTTTGTAAATTGAACAGATAAATGAGGAAAAGGTAAACTTCAGATGTTGTCGTACTTGCAAATGCTTTGGACATTTAGTTATGTTTAATCTTTTATCCACTGTGTGCTTTTCATCTTCTTCTTTTGTATAAGTATCTTTCTTTCAATGCTTTAATAAATGAATTATTTAAAAAAAATAATTGATATTGATTTTAAAGAGGATTCAGCGTCTCTTATATTATTCATTCCCTCCCTGTGCTTCATCTGTAGCTTCTTCATGTGTCTTCTTTTGGTCCTAGTGGGGGTGTCTGCAGGGAGAGAGTCAAAAAAGTCAAGATGGCGGCCACAAGCATGAATTCAAAAGCTGTCTTGTGGGGGGGGAGGAATCATAGTTTTGGCTGCCATCTTGACATTTTTGACCTTATCCCTGCAAAATCCCATATCCTAGAAAGAAAAATGGAAAGAGAGAAAATAATTCCTTTGGGAATGCCAGCATTATTCTGCTATACGTAGTTCTTGAGTTAACAACAGTTCATTTAATGACCATATGAAGTTACAATGGAACTAAAAAAAGTGACTTATGACCATTTTTCACACAACCAATGCAGCATCTCCAGGGTCACGTGATCAAAATTCAGTCACTTGACAACTGATTCGTATTTATGACGGTTGCAGTATCCCAGGGTCATGTGATCCCCTTTTGTGACCGTTTGACAAAAAAAAACCCACTATATTCTGTTATTCAGCCTCCTCCTCAAATGATCAAGTTTGATCTCTGGCTGAATTTCCCCAAATTTCACTCTTCTGCACCAGCCGGTTTGCTACAAATCCTGCACATATTCACACATATTGTGTTGCCATCTACACTACACAAAATCAACTTCACAGATGCCCAACCATCTTCTCCTTCATTCCCAAAAGCCTCCTCCATTTGGCAGGATTTTTTTTTTTTTGCAGCTGGAAAGCTGCTGTTTTAATTTGGTAGCAATGTTCAAGGCCTCTGTGGGACTCTCGGCCTGATTTTGATGCACAAAGGAAAAGCTTTAAATAGAATAGAGTAGAGCTGGAAGGGACCTTGGAGATCTTCTAGTCCAGACCCCCCCCCCCCTCAAGCAGGAGACCCTATACCAGGGGTAGGCCATCTTGGCTCTTTTATGACTTGTGGACTTCAACTCCCAGAATTCCTGAGCCAGCATGGCTCAGCTTGGAAACCTCTCCCTTTCCCCTCAGCATGGCTGGCTCAGGAATTCTGGGAGTTGAAGTCCACGAGTTATAAAAGAGCCAAGATGGCCTATCCCTGGTCTAGGCCTAGGCCGCTTTATGACTTGTGGACTTCAACTCCCAGAATTCCTGAACCAGCATGGCTCAGCTTGGAAACCTCTCCCTTTCCCCTCAGCATGGCTAGCTCAGGAATTCTGGGAGTTGAAGTCCACCAGTCATAAAAGAACCAAGGTTATCTACCCCCGCCCGATACCATTTCAGACAGGTGACTGTCTAATCTCTTCTTGAAAACCTCCAGTGATGGAGCACCCACAACATCTGGAGGCAAGTAGTTCCACTGGTTAATTGTCCTCCCTGTCAGGAAGTTTCTCCTTAATTCCAGGTTGCTTCTCTCTGATCAGTTTCCAACCATAATTTCTTGTCCTGCCCTCTGGTGCTTTGGAGAATAATTCGATCCCCCTCTTCTTTGTCGCAGCCCCTCAAATACCAACATGCTGCTATCATGTCACCTCTGTTTCTTTTCTTTAGACTAGCCCAGTGGTTCTCAACCTTTTTAATGCCGCGACCCCCAACCGGTCGTAATTCAAGGACTACCCAACCCGTCGTAAGTCGAGAACTTTCCCTGCCCGGGAGCACCGCGCATGCGTGGTGCTGCCCCCTGTGCCGGCCGAGGCCTAGCTGGCAAGGGGCAGCAATGGCACAGAGCGACCACCGGCTGGGCCACCAGCTGACCCAGCCCAGGCAGGTAAGGCACCCGACGGGCCCCACGCGTGCCAGAAACCCTCCCTGCGCCCGCCACTGCCCCGCTAGCCTTACGTTGGCCACCGCCCGTTCGAGGCGGCGGCAGGCAGGCCCAGGCGCTCCTTGACGGCCACGGCAAGCGGCAGCGACAGCACAGGGCGACCACCAGCTGGGCCACCAGCTGGCCCAGCCCAGGCAGGTAAGGCACCCGCCGGGCCCCATGCGAGCCAGAAACCCTCCCTGTACTCGCCGGCCTCCCACCTCCCACCCCTGGCCCTCTTTTCCTTACTTTTAGTGGTTGCTCAGCAGGGAGGGAAGCTTTCCTTGCAGCACCGCTTGCAGAATGGGACTTTTGGCGGTCTCAGCAGGGCAGAGACAGCCTGGACAATTCCTATTGGCTTTTGAAAGCCAATAGAATTAGACTCTATTCAAAAGCCAATAGAATAAAAGGGAGTAGCACAGCTAAGGAAAAGGGGGGGAAAATGGCGGACTGCGTTGTTTGGCGACCCCCATGAAATGGTCGTTCGACCCCAAATGGGGTCCCGACCCACAGGTTGAGAACCACTGATCTATACCATTTCAGACAAATGGCTGTCCAGTCTCTTCCTAAAAACTTCCAGTGTTGGAGCATTCACCGCTTCTGGAGGCAGGTTGTTCCACTGGTTAATTGTTCTCACTGTCAGGAAGTTTCTCCTTAGTTCTAGGTTGCTTCTCTCCTTGCTTAGTTTCCATCCGTTGCTTCTTGTCCTGCCTTCAGGAGCCTTGGAGAATAGCTTGACTCCCTCTTCTTTGTGGCAGCCCTTCAAATGTTGGAATACTATTATCATGTCATCCCTGGTCCTTCTTTTCATTAAATACCCAATTCCAGCAAGTACATAATGTATATGTACAAATAGTCCCCAACATGTGACTATCATTGGGACCAAAACCTCTGTCACTAAGCAATGCTGTCATTAGGTGAGTCAACCATGTGACTGTGCCTGATTTATTTTTATTTATTTATTTATTTATTTATTTATGAGACTTATATACCGCTTTAAGTGCAAGCACTCTCTAAGCGGTGTACACCAGTAAGCAATGTATATATATATTTACATTGCCCCCAACAATCTGGGTCCTCATTTTACCTACCCCGGAAGGATGGAAGGCTGAGTCAACCTTGAGCCGGTGAGATTTGAACCGCTGACCTGCTGAACACAGTCAGCTAAAGTGGCCTGCAGTACTGCACTCTAACTGCTGCGCCACCTCTAAGACTCTCTTTTTTAACCAGGTTAGGTAAACCTGGTTTTTTACACTGACCCTGCATGGCAGAATCCCCTGGGAAGGCTGCAGTGGAAATCACATGGAGCCCCGGATGCTGCATCTGTCATAAACCTGTCATAAATGCCAGTTACCAGGCATCCAAAGCAAAACAATGTGACTGCAAGGAAGTTGCCATAGTCCTAAATGCCAAAGGTGCTTTTCAAAAGACAACTGGGCCACTTTGTTTTCCTTCCTTGCAAACTCAGATGGAAAAAACTTGTGGGGGCTGAAACACTGAAGGTTTTTAAGAAGAGACTGGATGGCCATTTGTCTGGATTGGTACTGGGTTTCCTGCCTGAGCAGAGGGTTGGACTAGATGACCTCCAAGGTCCCTTCCAGCTCTGCCATTCTCTGAAGTTTCTTGGATGAGAAACAAAATGTTTTCAAGGGAAAATCAAGAAAGACCAGTTACCTTTTGAAAAACACGTTTTGGGACAACCATGAAGCTTGGGAAGCATGTTTGGTTTTCAAATCTCAAATCAAGAAGTTTGGGAAGCAAACACAGGCCAACACAGTGCTAGGCTGCATTAACAGAGAGATAGAATCAAGATCACGTGAAGTATTAATACCACTCTACAATGCCTTGGTAAGGCCACACTTGGAATACTGCATCCAGTTTTGGTCACCACGATGTAAAAAAGATGTTGAGACTCTAGAAAGAGTACAGAGAAGAGCAACAAAGATGATTAGTGGACTGGAGGCTAAAACATATAAGGAACGGTTGCGAGAATTGGGTATGTCTAGTTTAACGAAGAGAAGGACAAGTGGGGACATGATAGCAGTATTCCAATATCTCAGGGGCTGCCATAAAGAAGAGGGAATTAAGCTATTTTCCAAAGCACCTGAAGGCAGGACAAGAAGCAACGGGTGGAAACTAATCCAGGAGAGAAGCAACCTAGAACTAAGGAGAAACTTCCTGACAGTGAGAACAATTAATCAGTGGAACAGCCTGCCTCCAGAAGCAGTAAATGCTCCAACACTGGAATTTTTTAAGAAGAGACTGGACAGCCATTTTTCTGAAATGGTGTAGGGTTTCCTGCCTGAGCAGGGGGTTGGACTAGATGACCTCCAAGGTCCCTTCCAACTTTACTACTACTACTACTACTATTACCACTACTACTATATTATTATTATTATTATTATTATTATTATTATTATTATTATTATTATTATTATTATTATAATATTATACCATGGTTTGAAGTTTGAAAAGTATGACATTTGAAAAGCACCTTTGGAATAACTTCATCAGTTGTGGGTGCCTCCATCACAGGAGGCTTTTAAAAAGAGATTGGACAACTGTTTGGCTGAAATGGTATAGGCTCTTGTGCTGGAGCAGAGGGTTAGACTAGAAGACCTCCAAGGTCCCTTCCAACTCTTTTATCCTATATTCTATGACCTGGAAGATTGAGAATCTCCATAGACATTCTAAGTGCCAGTAAGTCACTTTTCCCAGCACCATTGTGTCTTTGAACAATCACTAACAAAATGTCCTAATATTGAGGGCCATCTCTGTGTCCATGTGTGCCCCTGAACCACATTCACACAAAGATATGGCAGTGTCAGTATAATCCTGTCAGCCAAGCATGTTCCAGGATGTCTCCTGATTGTTTCAGGATTTCTTGAAACCAAATATAAAATTATTATTCTGGCCCACTGAGTTCCCAAGCCCAAGAGACCACCAGATAATGAATGCAACGTTTCAGCAAATAGAAAATTTAAAAAGAAAAACACTAGGGAACAGAGATTTTTGTCATGCAGTTTTATTGATATGCAGATCCAAAGAAATCAAAGTCAGCATCTAATCGTGCTGTACCTGGGAGGGCAATTGTTGCCCACCAGTCCAAGGATATGTGCACCCCAAATATAAAACAATACCACAATGTGAAGACATGTCAATGTTACACTATGATTAGAATACTCAGCAATAATTCTGAATAACCTTAGACACATTGATGACATAACCTTACATTGATGACCAGCAAACCAAGTTATGGCTTGTAAAGTCCAGAACTCAATAAGCTTCTTGGTTCTACACATAGGTTTTCTTGACAGGTCCTTCCTCCGTAATTTCTTCTTCAGTTATGGTTTCCAGTTCACAGCCTATGTGGAGATGAATCTCCTGGATCCTCAAAGGAAAAGAAATACATTGAAACAGGGAGTTGAAGTCCATCCATCTTCAAGGAGCTAAGATTGAGAAACACAGCAACAGAAAGACTTGGAACAAGGAAAGGTGGACTTGGATGCTTCTTTCTCTTTCTCTCTGTCCCAAAGATGCTTTTTCAAAAGGCAACTGGGCTTTTTTTCTTCTTCTTTGAAAACACTTCACTTCTTACCCCAGAAGCTTCACAGAATAACAGAGTTGAAAGTCCAGTGGCCTTTTGAAAAAGCATCTCTGAGACAACCATGACGTGGAAGGTTGAGAATCTGCAGAATCGTCTTTCTCTCCGTGTCCCTTCTGCTCTCCAAGGGTCTTTGCTACCCACACTAACTAATGTGGTAAGACACCCAGAGATTTGTGCGTTTGGCAGTGATATAAATTCGAGAAACAAATACATTTAATAAACTCACTTCTGGGCTGGTGCGGCTTCAGGCTCAGGTGTAGTATCCTGAAGATCTCTGTTGCGTGTCTCAGGAAGGAAACAGCAGAGGATTCCTGCAACCAGCGTTGAGCTTCCACAGATGAACATAGGAATAGCAAGGTGATATCTGGCCAACATGCCAACTAATGGCGCAAGGATGCCCGCAACACGAGCAGACATGGAGCACAAGCCAAGGGCGAATTGTCTGGTGGAAGAAATAGAATAAAACAAATTGAGTCACTCTATCTTACTGGTAAAAAGTCTTCAGATTAAAAGAAATGAGAAGCAAATAATGTGAACGTCTTCTCTTCTGGGAATCCTGGAAGCTGAAGTCTACACATCTTAAAGTTGCCAAGTTTGAAAAACACTGCAGACAAATTATATATTGCATTTATTTTAATAATGGGGAGGGCACACTTCTTATTTTGTTGTTTGTGCTGTCCAGAGTCACAGTGCTTGATTGAGGTGTCTTTATAAATCAAGTAAGTAAATAAACAATAAAAACACATAAATAATATCTTTACCTCACAACTGTGGGAAATATCTCAGCAGAAAAGAGATAAGTGGTTGAAAAGGAAGCAGCCATAGCAGACTTTCCAATCACGGCCAGCACAGTCACAATAATAGGGAATTCTGGAGAGAAAAAAACACAGTGAGGTGAAAAAGAGCACAGAAGATCTAACTTGAGGTATTACAGAACATTTGAAAGCTTAAAAATTGGGATCTAGCTTTACATAAATCCATGAGTGGGTTTAGGTTGGTTTCTATGACCCTTTTCAGGAAAAAAGTTTTAGTTACTTATTGAATACCTGCCCTAATCAGGAAGGCTCAGTCACTAATGCAGTGGTTCTCAACCTTTCTAATGCCGCGACCCCATAATACAGTTCCCCATGTTATGGTGACCCCCCAACCACTTATACATCACTGGGTGCCAGGGGCGTGGCCAAAGAAAAGGGGAAAAAAATGGCGGACAACCTTGTTTGGCGACCCCCGTGAAATGGTCGTTCGACCCCAAATGGGGTCCCGACCCACAGGTTGAGAACCACTGCACTAATGAGATGCCACCAAGGAGAAAATACAAAATTGGAAAACATAAATTAAGAGTTGGGGTCAATGCCTGCACATCTCATTTTTCTCTGAAAAAAAAAAGGCTCTAATGCTGAAAAAGATGAAAGGAAAAAGAAAAAGCTACAGTGGTAAATGGGACATCTTTGCAAGACATGAAGGACCAGGTTGGAGACAGATCTTTGTGGAGAAAAATCTCAGCTGTGTGATTGCCAAGGGTTAAAAACAACTTTTATGGCACATAAACAATCAACCCTGCTAAATCAGGTCACTGCAATGTTTTGAGCTGCCAAGACCACCTTGCTATTTTGATTCCCAAATATCTAACATACCTTTGGGGATCACACAGATGATCACACACATGATTCCTCCCAGGATGAGCCAAGTGGATTGGCACTTCTTCCTCCCGATCCATTCGAGCAGAAAAATGGAGAGGATGCGAGATGGGATTTCCACAGCTCCAAAGATGAGTTGGGTCAAGTAGATGTTCAAGCCAAAATCCCCAATGTGAAGACTCAGTTCGTAATACACCAGACTATCCACAAACCTGAGGGTAGAACGAGAAGTTGAGATGCTTCTGAGAAGTTGCATCAGCTTCCCATACATTACATTGAAAATACATCTGCTTTGTGAGTTGTTGTTTTTTTTAAATGCCTTTTAAAGAAGACTTACCACACCCAAGCCATGATCAAAGTCATGTTCCTCAGATACGATTTCTTGAAAAGGTCTAGGATGTATCTATGGGACACCTTCTTTTCCGGAGCCAACTGCAATGAGCACAAAATGGAAGACAAAACATTACAGTAGTCAGATTTCATGGTTACTATCCTGTAAAATATATGATGGCTGCTAAGCTCCTAAATTTTGGTTAGGATGCTGTGACAGTCCTAAGTGCAAGTAGTAAGTCACTTTTTTCAGTGCTGTTGTAACTTTCAACAATCACTGCATGGATGGCAGTATGTCAAGGAATACCTGTGTACTTTTGGGATAAAAAAGCAGCGTTTGAGCCTTGTTTTGTAAAGTTGGGCAGAAGTTTTAGCCATAACTTTAAAAAGAAGGAGAGAAGGTAAAAGCAAGACATTTTATCCAAAAGATCCCTTCTGGGAGGAAAAGAAGTTAAGAACCATAGGAAGGAAAAAAAACCTAGAAGTTATAGCATTGGAAAAGAGTAATAAAGCCAATTTTGATCTCCTTTTTAAAGTGTTCTTTTCTAAAATGTTCCTCTAAAGCAGTGGTTCTCAACCTTTTTAACGCCACGACCCCCCAACCAGTCATAAGTCGAGGACTACTCAACTGGTGCAGCACTGTTTGCAGAATGGGACTTTTGGCAGGCTCAGCAGGGCAGAGACAGCCTGGACAATTCCTATCGGCTTTTGAAAGCCAATAGAATTAGACTCTATTCAAGAGAGTCTATTCTATTGGCTTTCAAAAGCCAATAGAATAAAAGGGAGTAGCACAGCTAAGGAAAAGGGGGAAAAAATGGCAGACTGCGTTGTTTGGCGACCCCCGTGAAATGGTCGTTCGACTCCAAATGGGGTCCCGACCCACAGGTTGAGAACCACTGCTCTAAAGGAGCATTAAAACAACTACGTGTTTGGTACCTGATCCAGAATATCCACAGAAAAGGTTTGGTTGTTGATGGCAGCAGCTCTTAGGAGGATATCTTTGGCTTCTCCCATTTTCTTTTTGGTTATCAGCCATCGAGCAGAGCTTGGAAGGACCCTGCAACAGATAAAAACATAAATCAGAAGTGGAAACAGAATTGTGTGTGTGTGTGTGAATGAACTGAATTCAAATAGCAACAAGAGTGTACACTTTCTTGTAGGCCAATGTTTCTTAACCTCGGAAATTTTAAGAAGCCTGGACTTCAACTCCACATGCTGGCTGGGAATTTCTGGGAGTTGAAGTCCAAATCTTTTAAATCACCAAAGTTGAGAACAATCAAGTATATTAGCAAAAATCAAACTGACCTGAATCAAAAATGTAAGTTCAAATCGCAGGAACAGATTTTGGATGCCCACCAAAAGCTGAAGATGCAAATTCCTTCTAGCAGAAATGCAAGAGGCTTACCAAGCATAGAAAAAGATGAGAAATGCAGGGGCTGAGGTCGTTATTTGAAACAGTCGCCAGTCACGGACAAAGTAGGCCACGCCAGCTAGAGCCATTTGACCCAGCGCATTGGCACAATGAATGATGATCAGTGCCTGTGGACGGTAAGATGGGCCCACCCACTCCGAACCTAAAGGGAATAGAAAACCTCAAAAGTCTCTTCACAAAGAAACTTGTCCACCCACTGCATTTTCCATTCAGAAATCCTTTCCCAACCCTGAACATTGAATAAAGGTCTCAGTTTACAGTCTGCAATCAAAATCTGCCACTGAGCACCTCTACATTTTGACCCAGTGTCTTCTGGACCCTCTGAACCCCCTTTGTGGCACCCCAGAGACCCCCAGCTTGAAATGCAGACAAAGGAAGCCAGTGGCACAATTTCTCCAAGTCTTGAGATGAGAAATATACTGAGAACTTCCTGGAACCTCAAAAATCAAGTTACAGTACATTGGTTTGAAAAGCAAAGGGTGTGATCTTTTTAGAAATTGACATTTGGGCTTCTAGGACTTACTCAAGGTTGCAATGCTGATGCTGATCCCAGCCAGGGCTGCTCCTACGACCAATCTCAGGGCAATGTAGACGTAGAAATGCGGGGCCAAACTTAATGCAGTCCCAAAGAATCCCATTATGAACAGGGTAATTAGGATGGACATCCGACTGCCAATCCTGGAGAAAACAATGTAAGAAGGGTCAGTTGTAATGCTCAGAATGAAAAAACATCAACAACACTTTTTTTAAAGAAAAATCCACGGGCTGTTTTCCCTAGGTCAGTGGTTCTCAACCTTTCTAATGCCGCGACCCCATAATACAGTTCCCCATGTTGTGGTGACCCCCAACCACTTGTACATCACTGGGTGCCAGGGGTGTGGCCAAAGAAAAGGGGGAAAAATGGCGGACAGCCTTGTTTGGCGACCCCCATGAAATGGTCGTTTGACCCCAAATGGGGTCCCGACCCACAGGTTGAGAACCACTGACCTAGAGAAAAGTAAGTTGGGTTTGTATAGCAAACAAAGCTGGGCTGGAGAGCCTTCAAGAGGAGGGTCAAATGAAGTGAAGATAGCAAGCATAACCATGGGATTAGAGCACTATCTTCAACATGCACACAGGTAGGGCTTTGACCCCATGGATGTGATTACCACCATCTTGATGATCTGATTTGCGACACATTCCATGAAAGATCCAGGTCTCTGGAGACATCCATAATGCTGAAAACACTGAAGGAAAGAGAAGGAAGCAAGCCAGACAAAGCAGAATGGACTCATTAAAGAAGTAATGGGTCTACTTTTGAAAGACCTGAAGAATTAGATTGGGGAACAGATAATCCAGAAGTAAAACACGTGTAAAAAGAGGCAGGGCATGGATTGCCGGCACAGAAGTTAACTTTTGAGTCGGAGTCTCTGTGGATCTCTTTTTGACACCTTGCCTGCACAGACTGCTAAACCACCCCTTCAACCTCCCGGGCGGCAGAAGCTGCTGTGTGAAATGTGTCACCTTACCTGTCACTCAGTGAGCCGAAGATCAGCGATCCAGCCAGAAGTCCACCCATGAAAATGGATTGGGAGATGTCGTTTAAGTCCCTTTGGTCGCAGACCAGATCAAACTAAAGGAGACAAAGATAAAATTACACTTTAGTTAACTTCCTGAATTCCCAGCCAGCATTCTCTACGCCAGTGGTTCTCAACCTTTCTAATGCCGTGACCCCATAATACAGTTCCCCATGTTGTGATGACCCCCAACCACTTATACATCACTGGGTGCCAGGGACGTGGCCAAAGAAAAGGAGGGGGAAATGGCGGACAGCCTTGTTTGGCGAGGTCGTTCGACCCCAAATGGGGGTCCCGACCCAAATGGTCATTCGACCCCAAACGGGGTCCCGACCCACAGGTTGAGAACCACTGCTCTAGGTCCACAGTGTTTCTCAACCTTGGCAATTTTAAGGCATGTGGACTTCAACTCCCAGAATTCTGGGAGTTGAAGTCCACATGCCTTAAAATTGCCAAGGTTGGGAAACACTGCTCTAGGATAACAGGAAAGCTGCCCCAATTCCATCAATTGCTTTGAAAAGGATGAGGCAATTCTCACGATTAGAATCATTTAAAAGGAATGCAGTGATACACATACCTCGGTAACCAGAGTTGGCACGCTCATTGTCGGATACACCCATCCTTGTTCACAACCCTGGGTAGAATTGAGCCCGTATTTTATGATCGATTCAATGTCCGAATCTACTGGAGTAAATCTAGAACATTCATCCAGAGAATCATCCATTCCCTTAGGAATTGTTAAGTTTAACACCTGTTGAATGGTTAAGTTGGGGCTAATTGCTCGGATCCAGCTGGTGTTGCAGTAGTGAGGCACATCGATGCTAATGAAGATTTGGCCGAACATGTGAAAAGGGGTCAAGAAACTTGGGATGCAAAGCAGCAACACCAAGCATTTCTGAAACGCCCCATATTCGCCAATCATCTTCAAGACTTCTCCAAATCCTGACATTGTAAATTCCAATGCCGGATTAAACTGTCGTGAAACTGAGTGTCTGAAATTAAAATATAAACAAAATCAGCAACAATAATAAAGTAAGAGAAAGAGAGAGCAAGGAAGCAAGGCAGAAAAATGCGTGGACTTCAATTCCATAGCTGCGAAATTCTAAATCCGCTCTCCTTACAATTGAGAAACGCGGCTCTGGCTGGTTGTCTGAATGAGCATTTTAAAATCGCAGGCAGTTTTTAGCATAGCCGCAAAAGCCGCGTTTTTCAACCTCGGCAACTTTAAAGCGACTGGACTTCAGTTCCACGGCTGCAGAATTGTGGGCACTAAAATCCACTCATCTTAAAAGTTGCCGAGGTTGAGAGACGCTGCCTTAGCTTGTTGTCTGAATAGGCAACTTTAAATTACGCGCGCAACTCCTAGCGCAGAGCTAAAGCGGCGTTTCGCCTTTTCTTTTTTTTTCCCTCGACCTGGGCCGCTTTGAAATGAGAGGCGCTTAAATTCCTCCGCTGTGGAATTTTAAAGTCATTTAAAGTCGCCGAAGTGAGAGGCGCCGCTTTAGCTTGTTTGAATAAACTCTTTAAATTAGACGCAACTACGGGGAGTTGAAGCCCACTCATCTTAAAAGTTGCCACGGTTGAGAAATACCGCTTTAGCTGCTACGCTAAGAGCGGCTTGCAATTTAAACCGCTTCAAATCAAAGCAGTGAACAAGAGCAAGCTATAAAACAAATGGGCTTCGTATTAGGCATGTAAATTGCATGTTTGATAAAATACCTACACAAAAGGGGTTTAACCTGGGTAGCAAATTAAGATTAACTTAATTTAAATCATTTAAGAAAGCCCCGTATGTCCTTAAACTATCAAAAAAGATCGCTGAAAAACAAACGGACTCCAGCAGGTATACAGTAGAAACGAACCTGTTTTATTTGTACTGGAATGCATCTCATTTGGTATTATAGAACAAATGAGTAAAAACATTCCTCAGAATGTGCAATAATCCAAATTTTGCATTTCAGTTGATAAAGATATATCAAAAATGTGCAAAAATAATACAAATATTCTTTAAAGTAACATGTAAAATTAATCACAGAAAATTGTTGCAAAGACAGTATATTAGGCAGCATTTTAAAACCTATTTGGAGAAATGGAGAGCAATAAAAACAAATAGTTTGTTAAAATAGGCTTTTTTTAAAAAAGAAAAAAACTAATTTTGCTCTATCTGCAGAAATGAGAAAGCAAGAAAACATGAGATATTTGTAAAAATGAGAACTAAAGTTGCTAAATAAAGGCAAAGAAACATGGAGGTCAATTCATGAAATCACCTTGAAATTATTTTCTCAAAAAAATATCATGAAGAGGCCGGCATAGCTGTCTAAGAAACTTGCAGCACAAGCTAGAGCAGTTTTTTCTATTATTGCAAAGTTAGTACCTGCTCACCGCTGGAAGAGATTCACCAAGCGCCCAAAAAGTGAAGAGAAAAGTGCCCCTCCCAGCACTTTTATAGCTTTTAAGAAATAACTAGCTGCCTTTGTTTCACAGTTATATCAAACACCTGTGTGCACAGACACACACCCCCTTTGCATAACACACACATGTTACATAAGCACAGAGATGAGCCTTTCCCACTCAAATGTCTTATCATTGTTAGTTCGTTCTCTCCTGATCCCGTAAGGAAAACAACAGGAGGGGAAAAAATGCGTACAACAGAATACTTCTGAGAAGTAGCTAGCAACTTTACCAAAACAATGGCAGCAGAAATGGAGTAAGAAAACAACACAGCCTGAATTAAGTCCTTGAGCCATTTAAGATGTTCCACTGCTAATTAAAACAATGCACGGGTTGTATTGTCTAAAAAGCTTTGCTGCTAATTACTTCAGAGAAATAGAGATGGCTATGTATTGTTGGCAAGCCCAATAGACAAACAGGAGAAAACCCCGAAGGAAGATGTTTTCCAAAACCAGGATTCCATTTTGTTCCTAGGTCCTAAAATAAATCCATATAGAAATGGTCTAATAACAGGTAGTCCTTGACTTATGACCACAACTGAGCCCAAAATTCATGTTGCTAAGTGAGACATTTGTTAAGAGAGTTTTGCCCCATTTTATGACCTTTTTTGCCACAGTTGTTAAGTGAAACGCTGCAGTGGTTAAATTAGCAACACGATTGTTAAGTGAATCTGGCTTCCCCCGTTGACTTTGCTTGTCAGAAGATCACAAAAGGGGATCACATGACCTTAAGACAGAGCAACAGTCATAAGTACGAGTCAGTTGTCAAGCATCTGAATATTGATCACGTGACCATGGGGGATGCTGCAAAGGGTTGTAAGTATAAAAAATGGTCATGTCACTTTTTTCAGTGCCATTGTAACTTTGAACGGTCACTAAATGAGGTGTTGTAAGTTTAGGACAGCCTGTATATCTGGAGCTGGGAAATCTTAGATCTGCAACTACTATCTCATGCACGTGAGAAAAACAGGCCATTTTGGTCAAGATAGCTGTGCTTTTGAAGGCATCTTAGGAGCGTGACTTCATTCTTCTGCTTCCTAGGCCAGGTTAGACAACCAAAAGACTACAGTGTCACCAAAAACCCTCTCACTTTGTCAACTGTTCACCATAATTAGCCGGGCAATTATTTGGGATACAATTCTGATCCCATTTGAATACCAAAACAATGTTTCAGATAGCAACAACAGAGACATCTAGCTGAGCTTTTTTACACAACGGTCCATGTGAAGAAAAATAGAGGCCATTCAAATCATTTATTGCGATCAGTATGTATGATGTTTTGTAAATGAAATTGCTTGTATCACATCACATGCCAACATGAATATTATAATTAGTTCTTTGTCCAGCTGATGTAACTTGGAGTCCTTCTTGCCAGATACACTGAATATTGCTCCATTTGTACAACCCAAGGATGCTGAGAGATTCTTTGCAAGACCTCACCTTTAGGGTTTCACCTTGTTATATCTGCACATGATCTGCTGAAGAAGTGACATGAAATGAGAGGGAGTTTGGTGCAGTGGTTAAGGTGCTGGCCTAAAAACCAGGAGACTGTGAATTCCAGTTCCACCTTAGACATAAAAGTTGGCTGGGAGCTTTCACCACTAAACCAAACTAGATCTGAATGATTCTGTTGGACTTCTCAAAAGCTTTTGATGTTCTTCTAAGCAGGCTGGGATGTAATTTAAAAGAACTTTTCATCATAATAACAGTCCTCCTCATTGGGATCAATTCAAAATGTAATTGTGGGACATTCAATACCATTTATGGAAGGATGGACAATGACTCTAAAGGACCCCAGCCCAAATATTGATCTCAACCGAATCTAATTCATCTCCTGATCCAGTAGCTGGTTGACAGGTTCTTGGGAGCCTCATCGTGGTGGATGCACAGTCACAGTCAAAAGCTGTGACAATAATATGTACATGGGGACAACTGGATAAAAAATAAGGTCTATCCAGACCACACAGACCACCACCTCTCTATGGCTCCTCAGATTATGAGTTGTCCTTATGTTGCCAACAATGTTCTTCAGGATTCATCTTACATTATAGACGTCCTACTGGCTATTAATTCACAGATGACCATCCACACAGCCATATACTTCTATTTTTATTATTGTCACACACACACACCCAAAAAACCAAGAAAGACATACAGAGTTACTTCTGAGCAATTTCCTTTATTGTTCTTCACCCATAGAAGCACTCTTGTCCCACTAAAACAATTGCTTGCATCATTGAAGATATACTCTGAGAACTTCTAGGGAGGGTCCATCTTGACCTTCTCAATCAAACTATCTAAAGTTTGCTCTCTCTTGGTCCCATATTCCACCAAAATTGTCCCATTCAAGATCACCCACCCCCAACTCATTCTCGTCCATCTGCTGTTTTAAATGACAGCTGCTCATCATGTTCAGCTTCTCATGGGGTGTTTTATGTGGGTTGCCCCCTTAGCATGGAAGGATAGACAACCAAACCAATTTTTCTATATTGTTTTGTTATGTCTGCCCTAAGATCTCCCTCTTCCTTAAAAATCTGCATTTCTTAGCTTCATCTTTGCTGGCATTCACCATCCTTTTTTTTTTTTTTTTAAAGAAATGAATTTTTCCCCCCAAAAGGAAGCTTTATGTGGTAATAAGTGTTTTGGTGTTTTTTTGTTATTGGTGACATGCAGACAAAGGAGAATCAAAGAAATTCCAGAGATTTGGGTGTGGCCGACCTGAAGAACAACAACTCAAGAATAGGAACAATCTTTTCCTTTAGAAAGAAAGAAAGAAAGAAAGAAAGAAAGAAAGAAAGAAAGAAAGAAAGAAAGAAAGAAAGAAAGAAAGAAAGAAAGTAAAGCCAAAGATTGGGAGAAAGAAAGCAAAATGCTGATGTGGAAAGGTGATAATTTGGATTGAGAACATCTGAGAAGAATCAGCAAAATGAAAACTCTTGGTCCCATTTCAGAATGGGAGGTCCTCACCTGCAATTTCCCTAAAAAAAAAAAAGACCTCTGCAATTACTAATTGCATATTTGGTTTCACTGGGTGTAGATTTTAAAGGTAAAATCACCCCGTGCCAAGGCACCAAGTTAAATCTCCAAAGTAGAAAAGAGTTTCTGAATTCAACAGAATTGTTGGCTGTGTTTGCACAAAGTTGAATAGATTTACTCCTGCTTTATTTTTTCCTCTGCTTCGCATGTTGTTACAGATTTAACTCATGAATGATAAACTAGTGTTTAAACCGATTTCCTTTAAAAAAAAAGCTAACAATTCTAACTAAAAAAATACCTTAAACAAAAGCAGTGCATTGGCAATTAGAGTAAGAATAGATTAACCATCATTAGCAAAATAAGTCCCATTGAAAGCAACTGGTGTACTCAATGACCCGGTGCACCTATTATAATAAACCATGGTTTCTTGATTAAACCAAGAATGGCTGACTTTATCCATCACTTTATGGCATGGATCCCACTAAGCCAAATCACATGAACTGTGTTATGTTGTAGCCTAATATGTGAAAGATATTTACTCTCTAAACAAGTACACCAATTTTTCCTGCTCTGCTCACAGTACAGAGAAATCTACCAATTTTTCTCCAGTCTGCATCCTTGACATGCTGGCTCGATCCATCCATGGACTTAGAAATGTGTGCTGGTTATCCTTTCACTAATACAATTGTCTTTATTTGGTTTTGTACATCCATTTTCCACGCTGTCACTGGCTTCCTTGCTCTTCCTAAAAGAGAGAAAAGTTAAAAACAGGTTTCATTATACGTAATATATGTAGTCCAACAGTTCATTTAGTGACTGTTCAAAGTTATGACACTGTAAAAAGTGACTTATGACCGTTTTTCACACTTACAACCGTTGCAGCATCCCCTTGGTCATGTGATTAAAATTCAGATGCTTGGCAACTGGCTCACATATATCCTGGGATCCTGAGCATCAAGGACCCCACAGTCCTCCTCCCCATCCCCCTCCCCCTTCTCCCACTCTCCATGAACCCCACTCCCTTCTAGCATTGATGATGTTACCTAATGTGGTAATATAATGAAATGTAAAAAAAACAACAAAGCTCAGAGAACACCTAGAGCAGTGGTTCTCCACCTGTGGGTCGGGACCCCATTTGGGGTCGAACGACCATTTCACGGGGGTCGCCAAACAATGCAGTCTGCCATTTTTTCCCCCTTTTCCTTAGCTGTGCTGCTCCCTTTTATTCTATTGGCTTTTGAAAGCCAATAGAATAGACTCTCTTGAAGAGAGTCTAATTCTATTGGCTTTCAAAAGCCAATAGGAATTGTCCAGGCTGTCTCTGCCCTGCTGAGCCCGCCAAAAGTCCCATTCTGCAAACGGTGCTGCACCAGTTGAGTAGTCCTTGACTTACGACCGGTTGAGTAGTCCTCGACTTACGACCGGTTGAGTAGTCCTCGACTTATGACCGGTTGGGGGGTCGCGGCATTAAAAAGGTTGAGAACCACTGACCTAGAGTCCCACAAACTTCCTCCTCCTCCACCTCCACTCTGCAAACCCTTTCTAGCATTGATGATGTTACCTAGTTGGGTCATGAAATGTCTGCAAGAAAACAACCAAGCCCCATTTCAACCCTGAACTCAAAAATTCTTCTTTATTGGTTCCATTCATGTGTTATTTAAGATATTAGTGTAGTTTCCTTGCCACAGTAGCAAAGTGATTAGCAACTGTCTTTCTCCAGATTTTTTTTTTAATCAACTAATCATGTTAAACCAGTGGGACGCCCTGATGCATTCTCATCAAAGAGATCCAAGCCAGCTTGGTTTCCAAGCAAAGTGCTACTATCAGTCTTGTTTATACCATAACAGTGACTGACAACATTTGATTCCCAGAAAATCTGATAAAGATCCAAGCAGCAGGAGGGCCACAAAAGAAAAGAAAAATCAATTTTTCTTGCCAGCAATAACCAAACCAGCAAATTGCAGATCATCTGTTCTCAGCCAGAAATTGACAACTATGGATAGAAAACAAAGTGGCTAGGTTAGCTGGCTTGTTTTTAATAAAGAAGAATATTTGTAGCTTGGGGTTGAAATGAGGGGTCCTTGGTGGTCTATGAGCTTGGTGGTTTTCTTGCAGATGTTTCATGACCCAACTAGGTAATATCATCAGTGCTAGAAGGGAATGGGGTTTATGGAGAGGAGGAGGAGGAGAAGGAATGTGAGGTCCTTGGTGCTCTCTGAGCTTGGTTGTTTTCATACAGACATTTCATGACCCAACTAGGTAACATCATCCGTGCTAGGAAGTGGTGTTTGCTCTATATTTATATATAAGTAGCTTGCCTGTCAATGTTTCTTTCTTGGTGCTTCCTTCATTAGGATATTTTTTAGTATTGGCTTGTTTGTCTGAATTGGTAGTTTTTTGATTGGGGTATTGCTTACTTCTTGCTTGTTGGCCAATATTAATCTCTAGATTGTTCATTATCCCTATTTCGGCCATTGTCTGCATGAAAACCACAACAGTCCTCCTCCTTCTCTTCACCTTCTTCTTCCTCCTCTCCCTTCCCTCTCCCTCCCCTCCTCCTCCTCCTTCTTCTCTCCTTCCACCTTCCATCTTTTCCAGCTCCAGAGCCTTCTTTAAGTTGAATAACAGAACATATAATGCTAGCAATTGAGGCTTATGTTCTTTAAGCATGTGCAGAGATATCACTATGGAAGTCTACTCCACATTGCCAACACAGTGCAGTGCACAAAGGAAGGGCTTGACTAAGGACATCCTTTGAGGCTTGCCTTAACTTGTCCCACTTGATGGCACATGCCCTTGGTGGCTACAAAACTGGGCAAAGTGCCTTAAGACAATTGACCTCTAAGTGGATCTAAGCCTAGGTTTGCTTCTCCTGGACCAGCGAGGCCAAACGTATCAAGCAAACGTCAGACCTTCCCATGGATCTTGCCTTGGTTTGTGGGTCAGATCATCCATACAATCAGGGAGTTCCTTGCCAAGCGTCTCTGGGAGAAGGAGAGAAAAGAGGCCACCAAGAACAGCTGTACTTCCAAAGATCACCACGGGCAGAGAGGTGTGATATTTGCCCAGGAGACCAATCAGTGGGGAGATGATTCCAGCTACTCGGGCTGTCATCTGACATACTCCGAGTCCGGTCTGCCTGATAGGGAAGCAAAACAGAGGCCAGATGAAACCTAGAGAACTAAGTAGAACTTAGTAGAACTAAGGAGAAATTTCCTGACAGTCATAACAATTAACCAGTGGAACTACCTGCCTCTAGAACAGGAATGTCAAACCCGCGACGTATCGCAACTTTTTTTAAGAAGAGACTGGACAACCATCTGTCTGAAATGGTATAGGGAAGACATGTCAATCACAAGGCCCGGGGGCTGGATGCGGCCCACGAAGTGGTTTCATGTGGCCCGCGAAGCCATCCTGGAAACAGTGAGGGAACGGCCCCCGCTGCCTTGGCCCTGGCCCAGGCCAGCTGGGAGCCAATGTACAATTTTGAAGTGGCCCTCTATGCTGAAACGCATTCAGCCTTAGCTCCATAAGCCCCTCCCCCGCATGGCCTGAGAGGAACAGTGAGGCTCCTCCAATGGACCATGCCTTGGCGCTTGCCCCGGTCCCACCCCCTTCTGCAAGAGACCCTCAGACCTGCCCCACTCCTGCCCAGGCCCCCCCAAGCATCCTTGAGGCGAATGATGTAGAGCTGGCCACGCCCACCCAGTAGGTCACACCCACTCCATCCACACCCACCCAGTAGGCCACACCCACCCTGGCCACACCCACCCAGCCCCCTGAGGGCAACCGCAATGCTGATGCGGCCCTTAATGAAATTGAGTTTGACACCCCTGGCTTAGGGTTTCCTGCAGAGGGTTGGACTAGATGACCTCCAAGGTCCTTTCCAACTCTGTTGTTCTGTTCTGTTCAAGAAAGCTGGCTGGGTGACATTGGGCCAGTGCCTCTCTCACAGCCCAACCCACCTCAGAGGGCTGTTGTGGTGGGGAAACTAAGAGGATGAGGATATGGGGAAACTAAGAGGTGTTGGACATTTTTTCTGCCTTGATTTATTTGTAAAACTAATAAAGCTGGAATACAAAGAAATATATATAGATAGCCCTTGACTTACAACGGTTCATTCTATTTAGTGAGCGTCTGAAGATACAACAGCATTGGAAAAAAGTGACTTATGACCATTTTTCACAAACTGTTGCAGCACCCCTCCCCATGGTCACGTGATCAGAATTCAGATTCTTAGCAACTGCCTCATATTTATGACGGTCGCCATGTCTCGGGCTCACGTGATTCCCTTTTGCAACCTTTTGCCAAGCAAAGTCAATGGGGAAAGCTAAATTTAGTTGACAAACGTGTTACTAATTTAACACCTTTAGGGATTTGCTTAACAACCAGAAAAATGTGTAAAATGAGGCAAAACTGACTCAACAAATGTCTCACTTAACAACATAAATGCTGGCTCAATTGAGGTCGTAAGTGGAGGACCACCTGTCAATCAGCCACTGGGGAAACCTCCACAGCAGTGCAATGATTCACAGTTTTTGGCAGACCCTCCCCACTTTCTCTTCCTACCTCCCCCAACTCTTCAGAAGCTGCTAACTCAAACAGTAGCTACTACTTGATAAGATAGAAAAATGTGGGGTAGACAGAACCACCACCAGATGGATCTGTAGCTGGCTGACTGGCCGTACTCAGCAAGTGGTCCTCAATGGAACCACATCTACATGGAGGGAAGTGTGTAGTGGGGTGCCCCAGGGCTCTGTTCTGGGCCCAGTACTCTTCAACATCTTCATCAACGATTTGGATGAAGGGATAGATGGGGAACTCATCACATTTGCAGACGACACCAAGCTGGCAGGAATAGCCAACACTCCAGAAGACAGGCTTAAGATACAGAAGGATCTGGACAGACTTGAACACTGGGCACTAACTAACAAAATGAAATTCAATGGTGAAAAAAGCAAGGTTCTACATTTAGGCAAGAAAAACCAAATGCACAAGTACAGCATAGGTGGCACCATGCTCAATAGTAGTAACTGTGAGAGGGACCTCGGAGTCCTAGTAGACAATCACCTAAATATGAGCCAGCAGTGTGCTGCAGCTGCCAAAAAGGCCAACACAGTGCTAGGCTGCATTAACAGAGGGATAGAATCAAGCTCACGTGAAGTATTAATACCACTCTTCAATGCCTTGGTAAGGCCACACTTGGAATACTGCATCCAGTTTTGGTCACCACGATGTAAAAAAGATGTTGAGACTCTAGAAAGAGTACAGAGAAGAGCAACAAAGATGATTAGGGGACTGGAGGCTAAAACATATAAGGAACGGTTGCTAGAATTGGGTATGTCTAGTTTAACGAAGAGAAGGACAAGGGGGGACATGATAGCAGTATTCCAATATCTCAGGGACTTCCCCAAAGAAGAGGGAGTCAAGCTATTCTTCAAGGCACCTGAAGGCAGGACAAGAAGCAACGGGTAAAAACTAATCAAGGAGAGAAGCAACCTAGAACTAAGGAGAAACTTCCTGACAGTGAGAACAATTAATCAGTGGAACAACCTGCCTCCAGAAGCAGTAAATGCTCCAACACTGGAAGTTTTTAAGAAGAGACTGGACAGCCATTTGTCCGAAATGGTGTAGGGTTTCCTGCCTGAGCAGGGGGTTGGACTAGATGACCTCCAAGGTCCCTTCCAACTTTACTACTATTACTAGTAGCTGACAATCCCAGTTGGGTGGCTGGGTGGGTGCATGGGTGGACTTTTCCCTGAAGCCCAGAGAGCCCCCCTCTTCACCCCCACTTCAGTGGTCATCATAGCTCAGCTACTCTTCTGATTAATCTGGAGTAAGGAGGAGAGAAAACCCAGTAGGAGAAGTCAAGTGATTTGTCTGTCCAAAGAAGGATAACCCTGCAGGATCAGGCCCAGAGGGAGGGGGAGGGGGAAAGGAGATGCCTGTATGTCAATCAGCAAGTCAAGAAACACACAATTCAGGGCTTATAGGAGGACTACTTTATTGTCGTAAGGTATTGTGGCGGAAATGTGAAAGTCTGCCCCAAATTTTCCCTTTGTGTCTCTTGAGAAACAACAAAGTTGAGATGGGGGTGTGTGTTATTGTGCTATTTGGTAGATCAGATAGGAAAACTGCAGCCACAGATCTACTAAGGTTTCATTAAAGATTCTGAAAAAATAAGCTTCTCTGTTTTTTATCTGCTTATTTCCTTGGCCGCATCACTTTCCCAGGGTTGTTCCCTGCATACCATTTACACTTTCTCATGCTTTCCGCTTTTCCCAGACCTGAGCAATTATTTCGCCTCCCCCCCTCCCCTTAATCAAGGCTAGAGAAAAATTCTTCCCCACGAGCAGCCTACGCTGATGGCTGATCAGTAGCAGCTGGCCAGTTGGCCAGACTATAGCATCAATGTCAAGGTCAGTGAATCACATCATCTGGTGCCTGAGCAAAACTAGCTTCTCAATTTCAATCAGAATGGAGCTGGATGGGACCTTGGAGGTCTTCTAGTCCAACCCCTGCTCAGGCAGGAGTCCTTATACAAATTGAGACAAGTGGCTATCCAGTCTCTTCTAAAAAACCCCCAGTGATGAAGCACCCACAAGTTCTGAAGGGAAGCCGTTCCACTAATTAATTATTTTATTTATTTATTTATGAGACTTATATACCGCTTTAAGTGCAAGCACTCTCTAAGCGGTGTACACTAGTAAGCAATGTATATATATATAAAACACCAGCCTGAAGATGACGAATGTGACTTCGTCGAAACGTTGCCAAGACACTTCCAATTTTACGCGGGAGAAAACCCGAACAACCAAAGACCTATATATATATTATATATATATATATATATATATATATATATATATATATATATTTACATTGCCCCCAACAATCTGGGTCCTCATTTTACCTACCCTGGAAGGATGGAAGGCTGAGTCAACCTTGAGCCGGTGAGATTTGAACCGCTGACCTGCTGAACACAGTCAGCTAAAGTGGCCTGCAGTACTGCACTCTAACCGCTGCGCCACCTCGGCTCTGTATTATCCTCACTGTTAGGAAGTTTCTCCTTAATTCCAGGTTGCTTCTCTCCTTGATTAGTGTCCATCTGTTGCTTTTTGTCAGAGAGCTTGATTCCTTCCTCCCTATGGCATCCCCTTAGATATTGGAAGACCGCTATCATGTCCCCCCTAGTCTTTTTTTTCTCCAGACTAGCCATACCAATTCCTGCAACCGTTCTTCATATGTTTTAGCCTCCAATCCTTTAATCCAGTGTTTTTCAACCTTGACAATTTTAAGGCATGTGGACTTCAGCTCCCAGAATTCCACAGCCAGGTCTGGTCTTAAAATATAGCCTGATGGGAGAAATAATCTATTACTTTCATCCATTGCGGTGGTACAGTGGTTAGAATGCAGTACTGCAGGCTACTTCGGCTGAAGTTATATAAGTCTAACTGCTATTGCTATCTGTCTGTCTGTCTGCCTGCCTATCTGAATGAATCTAAATGAGGACCCAGATTGTTGGGGGGCAATAGCCTGATTCTGTAAACCGCTTAGAGAGGGCTGTAAAGCATTGTGAAGCGGAATATAAGTGCTATTGCTACCTACCTACCTACCTATCTATCTATTCATCCATCCACCCACCCATCCACCTATCTATCTATCTATCTATCTATCTATCTATCTATCTATCTATCTATCTCTATCTATCTATCTATCTCTATCTATCTATCTATCTATCTATCTATCTATCTATCTATCTATCTATCTATCTATCTGAATCTAAATGAGAAACCAGATTTTGGGGGGCAATATGCTGACTATAAACCGCTTAGAGAGGGCTGTAAAGCACTGTGAAGCGGAATATAAGTCTAGGTGCTCTTGCTATTGCTAAAAGATTAAAGACCATCTTAAAGTGATCTGGGCAAGAGATGAAGGCAACATTATGGGGCATACAGTGAAGAAATTGTTGTCTGTTGTGTCCTTTTGGCCATTCGTAGAAAGCCCCATAGAACTGAGTTTATTTCTGGCAGGAGAAAACACAGCGCATGGACCGTAAACTATGGAACATAGAATCATAGACTTGGAAAGGACCTCAAAAGTCTTCTAGTCTAACCTCTTGCTCAATGCAGGACAACTTATACTATCCCAGGCAAATGGTTGTCCAATCTCTTCTTGAAAACCTCCAATGTTGGAGCTAGCCGTTCCATTGATTAAATGTTCTGTCAGGAAATTTCTCCTGAATGCCAAGTTGGACCTTTCTTTAACTCATTGCTCTTGGGCCCTATGGAGAATACGTCAATCCCCACTTCTCTGTCATAGCCTCTCAAGTACTGGAAGACAGTTATCATGTCACCCCTATTTCTTCTCTTTGGTAGACTAGGGATAGCTTCAAGATCGCCCGATGTGACAGTGCCACATGACAATGCTTTGATAAGACCACACTTGGAATATTGCATCTAGTTTTGATCACCATGATTCAAAAAAAACATGTTAAGACTTTGGAAAGACTGCAGAGAAGAGCAACAAAGATGATTAGGGGTCTAGAGGCTAAAGCCAGGGGTAGGCAACCTTGGCTCTTTTATGACTCGTGGACCTCAACTCCCAGAATTCCTGAGCCAGCCATGCGGAGGGGAAAGGGAGAGTTTCCAAGCTGAGCCATGCTGGCTCAGGGATTCTGGGAATTGAAGTCCACGAGTCATAAAAGAGCCAAGGTGGCCTACCCCTGGGCTAAACCATATGATGAATAATTAAGGGAACTGGGAATGTCTAACAAAGAAAAAGCTTAAGGAGTGACACGATAACAGTCTTCCAATATTTGAAGGGCTGTCACAGAGAAGAGGGGGTTAACCTATTCTCCAAAACAAGAAGTAGCAGATGGAGACCGTTCAAAGAGAGAAGCAACCTGAAATTTTCCTGGCAACGGGAGCAATTCATCAGTGGAACTCCTTGCCACCAGAAGTTGTGGGTGCTCCATCATTGGAGGCATTTGAGAAGAGATTGGACAACCATTTGTATGAAATGGTATAGGGTCTTCTGCTTGAGCAGGGGGTTGGACTAGAAGACCTCCAAGGTCCCTTCCGACTCTGTAATTCTTTTAGACCAGGGGTCTTCAAACTTGGCCCTTTTATGACTTGTGGACTTCAACTCCCAGAATTCCTCAGCCAGTGTGCCTGGCTGATGAATTCTGGGAGTTGAAGTCCACAAGTCATAAAAGGGCCATGTTTGAAGAGCCCTGTTTTAGACTTAAAACATTTAAATTTTTGCTTGTGGTAGTTAAGTAGCCTCACCGGATAACAGTCGGGAACAGCTCTGCTGAATATACATAGGACGTTGAAAATGAGCCTGCCATGGTAAACTTTCCAAGGACAGCCAGCATGGTGATTACCACAGGTAAATCTGGGAAGAAAAACCAGATATGAAGAGACAGAAAATCCGAAATAAGAGAGGCAATAACTTACAATTTTTAAAGAGACCATTTGAAGTTACAAAGAGCGCTGAAAAAAAGTTATTTGTGACCGGTCCTTGCACTAAGGGCTCTCATAGCATCTCCACAGTCGTGATCAAAATTTGGGTGCCTGGCATGCCTTGACAATGGTGGCAGCATCCTGGACTCATGTGATCACCAACAAGCTTTCCAACAGGCAAAATCAATGGGGGAAGCCATATTTGCTTTGCAACCATGTGGTTCACATCATCATCATCAGCATCATCATAATGATGATGAGGAGGAGGAGGAGGAAGAAGAGAAGGAGGAGGAGGAGAAGGAGGAGGAGAAGAAGGAGGAGGAGGAGAAAAAGAAGAACGAGAAGAAGAAGGAGAAGGAAGAGGAGGAGGAGGAGGAGAAGAAGAAGAAGAACGAGGAGGAGGAGGAGGAGGAGGAGGAGGAGGAGGAGAAGAAGAAGAAGAAGAAGAAGAAGAAGAAGAAGAAGAAGAAGAAGAAGAAGAAGAAGAAGAAGAAGAAGAAGAAGAAGAAGAAGAAGAAGAAGAAGAAGAAGAAGTAGTAGTAGGAGGAGTATTTCCTCCAGGAAATTGAAGTCACTACATTATAGTCAGGGGTTAGAATAGAATAGAACTGGAAGAGACCTTGGAGGTCATCTAGTCCAACCTCCTGCTCAGGCAGGAAGCCCTATACCATTTCAGACAAATGGCTGTCCAGCCTCTTCTTAAAAACTTCCAGTGTTGGAGCATTTACTGCTTCTGGAGGCAGGTTGTTCCACTGGTTAATTGTTCTGACAGTCAGGAAGTTTCTCCTTAGTTCCAGGTTGCTTAAACAACAACTGTGGCAAAAAAAGACTGTAAAATTGGGCATGTAATAACCACCTTCCTTAGAAATCTTGTGGCTGTAAGTCAAAGGCTTCCCATGTTAATAATAAAGCATTGGTAATAACTAGAAAAATGCCAGCACTTCCAGATCTAGTTCACACGTGCTTTGCTTTGCTTCTGCAATAAACTGTCATAGAAACCCAGTTATCATGATTCAAAACTTAGTGGGATGGGCAAACCCTGCCACTTATGAATTACAGGGAGTTCTCGACCTACAAACATTCATTTAGTAACTACTCAGTTACAACAGCACTAAAAAAAAGTGACTTATGACTGTTTTACATACTTATGACCAATGCAGCATCCCCACGGTCACATGACCAAAATTCAGATGCTTGGCAACTGGCTGCTACTTATGACAGATTCACTGTCCCAAGATCTGGGGATTATTGTTTGTAACTCTCCCAGATAAGCAATGGGGGGAACCAGATTTGCTTAATGATCGCATGATTCACTTAACAACTGCAGTGATTTGCTTAACACTTGAGGCAAAAAAAGGTTATAAAATGGGCCAAAACTCACTTAACCACTGCCTTGCTTAGCGACAGAAATTTTGGGCTCAGTTTAGTGGTAAGTCAAGGACTACCTATATCTAAGGTGACCAACCGTCCTCCTTTAGGGAGGACAGTCCTCCCTCAAAAAGCGTCCTCCTTCATGTCTTCCTTTTCGATATTTGAAGACTAATCTGCAGGGCTTTTTTTCCCTCATAGAACGCTCAGAACGGCATTCCGGCACCTTTTTTTGATGGGTTTTGTTTTCAACTTTTGCATGAGCTGTGCTACTCCCCCTATTGGCTTTCAAAGCCAATAGGAATTGCTGCTGAGCGCGCCAAAACACCAGCTGGCAAACTTTGCACATGCAAGTTGTCTGTATTATTGTTGCAATGAATAAAATGTTTCTTTTATTTACGATATTTTTTTCTTCAATTTATTTGTGTCCTCCTTTTCATTGTAAAAAAGTTGGTCACCTTACTATATCTCTATTTAATAGTATTTCAGATGAGGAAATACTTTTGATCTAGGCCAGGGGTAGGCCACCTTGGTTCTTTTATGATTCGTGGACTTCAACTCCCAGAATTCCTGAGCCAGCATGGCTCAGCTTGGAAACCTCTCCCTTTCCCCTCAGCATGGCTGGCTCAGGAATTCTGGGAGTTGAAGTCCACTAGTCATAAAAGAGCCAAGGTGGCCTACCCCTGGACTAGGACTAGGCCGCTTTATGACTTATGGACTTCAACTCCCAGAATTCCTGAGCCAGCATGTCTCAGCTTGGAAACCTTTCCCTTTCCCCTCAGCACAGCTGGCTCAGGAATTCTGGGAGTTGAAGTCCACGAGTCATAAAAGAGCCAAGATGGCCTACCCCTGGTCTATGCCATGATCATAAACTGAGCACTCTCTGTTTACAACCATTCCAGTTTAGCAAAATGTGGGAATGCTTTTAATTGGAACCCCACCTTTGGGCACGGCGCTGATCAGAAGAGAAAAGACCCCTCCCAGGAAGAGGGACAGCGACTGGCACTTCTTCCTTCCCAAGCATTGCATGAGGAAGACGCAAAGGATTCGGGCTGGGATTTCAACCGCCCCAAAGATGACCTGTGTCAGGTAGATATTCAGGCCGAAGCTGCCAACATTCAGGCTTAATCCATAGTAGGCCAAACTATTGACAAACCTAAGAGAAGGGAGGCAGGAGGGAGGGAGGGAGGGAGGGAGGGAGGAAGGAAGGAAGGAAGGAAGGAAGGAAGGAAGGAAGGAAGGAAGGAAGGAAGGAAGGAAGGAAGGAAGGAAGGAAGGAGAGACGGGGAAGGAGAGGGAGGGAGAGAGAGAGAGAGAGAGAGAGAGAGAGAGAGAGAGAAGAAAGGAAGGGAATAAAGAATGGAATAAAAGAAAGGAATAGGAAAAATTAGAGGGAAGGAAAGAAAGGGAGGAAGAAAAAAGGGAAGAAAGGAGAAAGAAAAGGGAGGAGTAATGTAGGAGGGAGGGAGAACGAGAGACGAATAAAAGGAAGCACGGAAGAAATGAGAGGGGAAGGAAAAAGGGAGGAAAAAAGGAAGGGGAGGAAGGAGAAAAAGGGAGGAAGAAGAGGAAGAAGGAAGGAATAATGGAGGGAGGGAGGGAGGGAGGGAGGGAGGAAGGAAGGAAGGAAGGAAGGAAGGAAGGAAGGAAGGAAGGAAGGAAGGAAGGAAGGAAGGAAGGAGAAATTGTTACCATTAAAAGGAGAATACACAAGATAAAGTTGATAAATACTACATTTTCTTTTCCTATTCCCCAAATCAATGCTATTTTTACAGGGATGTACGAAAAACTTGTAGGAAAGGCACTTAAATAGCTACACACACAGTCCTTGACTGATCATCCATTTAGCAACCATTTGAAGTTATGACCCCACTGAAAAAAAAGAGACACAGGACTTCTCCTCGCACTTATGACTCTTATAGCATTTCTGTGGTCACCTGATTGCAATTCAAGCACTTGGCAAACGCCCTGTGTGTGTGTGTGTGTGTGTGTGTGTGTGTGTGACAGTTACAACACCCTAGAATCAGGCCGCTGTTCTCTGCAACCATCCCAGCCAGCTTTCAACAAGAAAAGCCAACAAGGGGAAGCCAGATTCACTTAATGACCGTGTGATTCACTTAACCACTGCAGTGATTAGCTTAATGCGGCAAAAAGTTCATAAAATCAGGTGTCATCCAGGATGTTGTAACTGTCACACACACACACACACACACACACACACACACCAGTTGCCAAGTGCTTGAATTGCAATCAAGTGCAACCACAGAAATGCTACAAGAGTCATAAGTGCGAGGAGAAATCATATGTCTCTTTTTTTGAGGGATGGAAGTTCCCATTTCAATTGTGGTTGTAAGTTGAGGACTGCTTATATCAGTGGTTCTCAACCTGTGGGTCAGGACCCCATTTGGGGTCGAATGACCATTTCACGGGGGTCGCCAAACAACGCAGTCCGCCATTTTTTCCCCCCTTTTCCTTAGCTGTGCTACTCCCTTTTATTCTATTGGCTTTTGAAAGCCAATAGAATAGACTCTCTTGAGTAGAGTCTCATTCTATTGGCTTTCAAAAGCCAATAGGAATTGTCCAGGCTGTCTCTGCCCTGCTGAGCCCGCTAAAAGTCCCATTCTGCAAACGGTGCTGCACCAGTTGAGTAGTCCTCGACTTACGACCTGTTGAGTAGTCCTCAACTTATGACCGGCTGGGGGTCGCGGCATTAAAAAGGTTGAGAACCACTGGCTTATATGAATAGGAGGCTAGATAAGCAAATCTCCCTTTCTGTCTTATTTGGTAAAGTCACAGAGAGAGCCTGACTTTGGAGAAAGTAGGGTAGGGGGCATTAAAGAGGGTCTCAAAGAGGAGCAGTTTTTTTTCCAGTTTTCAGCTACTACACCCTACAACAATAATGTAGCATTTCCGGAATCCTTGCAATCTGTTCCTTGACTTCGCCAACATCAAAGAAACGATATCAATCTCTCTGAAATTCACTCTTCCTCACCTTACCTTAAACAAAATCGTGGGATTATTTTGACTTCCGTTTTCACACATGCCTTCTGTTTTCCACCGGTTGCAGTCTCTTATCCATGCTCCCTCTTAACAACAACTTAACAACTCTTTGATACCTTCTCCAAGGCCACTTTAAATTCGTTTATTGAGTGAGAATTACTCCAATGGGCCTGATTAGCCCCGTTAGATTAATATTTTTTTTCCCAGGAAGGTGAACTTTCTGAACTCTTGTTTGAGTTGGAAATTGTTACTTTTATCAAAGCGTTTGAATTGTCTATGAAAGACACAACATACTTACCAGATTAGGGAAATTATCAGGGTCACTTTTGCTAATTGGGGATTCCTAACGAGATCCAAAAGTGTTGTTGAAGACTTGGCTTTCTTTTCAAGTTTTAGCTTTATTAAAAGATGAGAAAATGAAAGAATAAAAGTGTGAAGAAGAATGTCCCTTTTGCATCTTTACTATTCTGGGAACTTGTTTGCTTCTTCTAGGCAGGCTTCTGGTTAGTCACCTCTCCAGATGTGTTGAACCATAACTACAGATAGTCCTTGACTTACAATAGTTCATTTAGTGACCGTTGAAGATGCAACAGCACTGAAAAAAGTGACTTTTTCACACTTAATGAACATGGCAGCCTCCCCCTAGTCACGTGATCAAAATTCAGACATCTGGCAACTGGTTCACATCTATGATGGGCTGCAGCACCCCGGGGGGGGGGGTGTCGTGTGATCCCCTTTTGCTTTCTGACAAGCAAAGTCAATGGGGAAAGCCAGATTCACTTAACAACCGTGTGACTAACTTAACAACTGCAGTGATTTACTTAAGAACTGTGGCGAGGAAGGTTGTAAAATGAGGCAAAACTCAATTAACAACTGTGTCTCTTAGCAACAGAAATTTTCGGTTCAATTGTGGTCGTAGGTTGAGGACTATCTCTATCTCTGTTTAACAGTATTTCAGGAAGGGAATGTCCATTCTTCTCAAATGTTCATAAATAAAAAAATATTGTTATGTCTAACGTCACTTGCACACAATAACATTATTATGGAGATAATGTGATTTATCTGTTCCGGTTCCTTTTTTTAAAAAAAAAAAAGGCTTAAAGATAATTTAAGCAACTAGATCAGGGGTAGGCAACCTTGGCTCCTTTATGACTCGTGGACTTCAACTCCCAGAATTCCTGAGCCAGCCATGCTGAGGGGAAAGGGAGAGTTTCCAAGCTGAGACATGCTGGCTCGGGAATTCTGGGAGTTGAAGTCCACGAGTCATGAGGGAACCATAGTTCCCCCATGCTGGCTCAGGAATTCTGGGAGTTGAAGTCCACGAGTCATAAAAGAGCCAAGGTGGCCTACCCCTGAAATTGATAGTTTTGTGTTAGTCTCTAAGTCTAGAACCCCAGACCCCATAAGGCTGGGACATAATCTCAGACTAACTAGAATATCATCTTGATCTGCAAAAGTCTTGGCTTTCTGTAGAAGTGGCTCACCACGAATACCCAGAAGCATCTATGGATGGAAGGAGTCAAGATGGTGGCTGTTCACCTGAATGAAACCTCACTCCTGTTTTGACAGGTGGATTTTCTGGAGGAGACCTTTCACTTCTCATCCAAGAAGCTTCCTCAGTTCTGGTTGCCGCTCTACATGGGGCTGTCCTTTGAAGAGCATCTGGAAGCTCCAGTTGGTTCAAAATGCAAGTTTTGTGCAGACCTCAGTGTGCACATGTGACACTTCTCCGGCAAATTGCTTCCAGGTGCTATTCAAAGTGCTGGTTGTCACCTTTAAAGCCCTTCATGGCTTGGGACCAGGTTACCTGAAGGACCGTCTCTTGCAGATCACACCCACCTCTACCACTTGAGTGGGGAGGCAAGGAATGTTGGGGGTCCCCTGTCCCCTAAGGAGGTGAATCCAGTGAGACCAGAAGAAGGGCCTTCTCTGTGGTGGCTCCCTCTCTCTTGAACATCATCACCCCAGAAATTAAACTGCTCCCCTCACTCTTTTGTAAGGCCCTAAAGATGTGGTTCTGAGGAACCCAGAGCAGGATGGAGCCCACTGAGTGGCTGGTATGATTGTGTGTTGCTGTGGTGTGTGTGTTATTATTTTATTATTTTTTCTAAATTGTGTTTTTATTGTCTGTAAGCAGCCTAGAGTCACTGTGAGCAAGTAGGTGGCTATATAAATTCTCTAAAACAAATAAATTAAATGAGAAGCAAAACAAATTCTTTTTCCTCATGGGGAAAAAAAACATAGCCCAATGGTCTTTAAAAAAAAGAAAAAGCATCCTTGAGACAACCATGACTTGGATGACTAAGAAACTTCATAGATAAGAGAAGGAACTGTAGCCAAAAATTACTGAAGGACCACAACCAGACCAGGGAGGCAGGGAATATTATGGGCTCCTACCCTTAAGGAGGTCCAACTAGAGGGACCAAGAAGAAGGGCCTTCTCCGTGGTGGCTCCTTCCCTGTAGAACAACATCCCTGCAGAGATAAGAGTGGCCCCCACTTTGACCCCCTTGTGAAAGGCCCCAAAGACTTGGTTTGACCATCAGGTCCAGGGAGATGATTTTTATACAGGGCTTTTATGTAAGCCACCGTGAGTGAGTAGGCTGGCCATATAAAATTTCTTAATAATAAATAAATACATAAAATATAATGCAAAGGGCGCTTGGGCAATGCATGCCTAAGAGTGGCTTAATCAACAGAAATAGTGTCACAGGGTTGGTAGAAAGATGCGAGGTTTTCTAGCCCAACTTCCTGACTAAGGCAGGTGTCTTTATTCTATCCTGGGCAAATGGTTGTCCAGTCTTTTCTTAAAAACCTCCTCCTCTTTGGACAATTTTTTCATTCCCGAGTTGCTCCCAACCACATTTGATTTGGACTCTCTGCAAAAATAACTTTGTAGGAACAGAAAACAAAACGAAACAAAAACTTACCTGCTCTAACAGTTTCGGAGGGATGGTTCGCTTGTTTACGGAGGCTGCTTTTTGGAGACGTTTTTTAGCTTCCTCTACTTTGCCTTTCATTGCAAGCCACCGAGCGGACTCAGGAAGGACCCTGAAAAATATTGGTGCAGCAAGCAAGCAAATAATTTCAAATTTTGGAGAGATGGCGTCTCTATCAAATGACACAAAATATCTCTCAAACTGACCACTTGAGGCAAAACTATAATAGTAATAGTAATAATAATAATAATAATAATAATAATAATAATAATAAACATATAATAATAATAAACAATAATAAACATCTGTCTATCCCAGGTCCTGGGTAAGGACTCGATAGGTAGACAAAATGCCAAATCCAGTCTGAACATCTGGCTGACTGTGCGATGATCGATAATAATAATAATAATAATAATAATAATAATAATAATAATAATAATAATAATAATAATAACAACAACAAAAATATCATTTGCCTGTAAGCAAAAACTGGTGGGATCATAAAATAGAGAAAGTCATAGAAAATGATAAAATTAAACTGCTCTGGGTCTTCAGAATTCAAACAGACAAGCACCTGCAACATAACACCCCAGACTTAACAATTGTCAATAAGAAAGACAAAAAAGTCTGGATCGTGGACGTGGCAGTGCCTGGAGATAGCAGAATAGAAGAGAAAGAACTGGAGAAGATAACAAAATACAAAGACCTACAAATAGAAATAGAAAGACTGTGGCAAAAGCAAGCAAGGGTAGTACCAATAGTCATAGGCTCCTTGGGTGCAATCCCAAAACAACTGGAGCACCACTTGAATACCATTGGCATTAACAAATTTGCTATTAGTCAATTGCAAAAGGCAGCCTTACTAGGAACTGCTTCCATCCTGCGACGATACCTGTAATACCATCACACATCCACATCTGCCTATCCCAGGTCCTGGGTAAGGACTCGATGGGTAGAAAAAATGCCAAATCCAGTCTGAACATCTAGCTGACTGTGCGATGATCGATAATAATAATAATAATAATAATAATAATAATAATAATAATGATGATGATGATGATGATGATGATGATGATGATGATGATGATGATGATGATGAAGTTGGAAGGGACCTTGGAGGTCATCGAGTCCAACCCCCTGCTCAGGCAGGAAACCCTACACCATTTCAGACAAATGGCTGTCCAATCTCTTCTTAAAGACTTCCAGTATTGGAGCATTCACAGTTTCTGGAGGCAGGTGTTCCACTGATTAATTTTTCTCACTGTCAGGAAGTTTCTCCGTAGTTCTAGGTTGCTTCTTTCCTTGATTTAGTGTCCATCCATTGCTTCTTGTCCTGCTTTCAGGCATTTGGAGAATAGCTAGACTCCCTCTTCTTTGGGGCAGCCCCTGAGATACTGGAACACTGCTATCATGTCCCCCCTTGTCCTTCTCTTCATTAAACTAGACCTACCCAATTCCAGCAACTGTTCTTTATATGTTTTAGCTTCCAGTCTTCTAATCATCTTTGTTGCTCTTCTCTGTACTCTTTCTAGAGTCCAGGTCTATCCTTGGATAGAGAGTCAAAGGGTCATGACAGATCAAGGGGTCAAGCCTCCTTTTTCTTGTGTTCACATGCAATGCATGTAAAAAAAAGCCAAGGCTTGCCACACTGCCATCTTGATTTTTTTGATTGACACCCCACTTTTCCTTGTCCTGTCCAAGAGGGCTAGCACAAAAACAATAAATGACAGTTGTTTTACATGAAATTAATTTTAATTAATAGTTCATCTGTTTCTCTCTCCTGAGTTGTTTTCTTCTTTTTTCTTTTTCTTTCTTTCTTTTCTGGCAGATATATGCAGGTAGTCCTCACTTAACAACCACGATTAAAACCCAGAATTTTGATTGTATGTTGTTGTGATCATTGTGCAAGTCATCATGTTACCTGACTCAATTTTATGATCAATTTTACAGTGATTATAAAGTGAGTAACTACGGTCATTAAGAAAATCATGTGGTTGTTAATCAAACCAAATGGTCTTTAAGCAAATCCAGTATATCCAATGGGCATTTTTTTATTGTTTTTGGCCGGAAAAAGGCAAAAAAACTTTGCAAATCACAGCTGTAAATTTGAACCAGGTGCCTGAAATGTGATCATGAAATTGCAGGATGGATGTGCATCAACTACAACTTTTAAGATGTGTTGCAAGTAACTTTTTTGAATCTGTAAGTTGCTAAGTGATTGGTCATTAAGCAAGAAGTACCTGTAATATCTCTACAGGCAGTCCTTGGCTTACAGTAGTTCGTTTAGTGACCGTTCAAAGTGACAACAGCACTGAAAAAGAGTGACTTATGACTGTTTTTCACACGACCGTTGCAGCATCCCCCTGGTCACATGATCAAAACTCAGATGCTTAGCAACTGACTCGTACTTCTGATAGTTGCAGTACCCCGGGATCATATGATTCCTTTTTGTGACTCCCTTCTAATAAGCAAAGTCAATGGGGAACCAGATTCACCAACAACTGTATAATTAACTGTATAATTAACTATATAATTAGCAACTGCACTGTTGCAAGAAAGGTCGTAAAATGGGGTAAAACTCACTTAACAAATGTTTCACTTAGCCACAGAAGTTTTGGGCTCTGTTGTGGTCATAAGGACTACCCATATATAATGTTTACACAATGTTTCTTAGTTACACAGCTTGGAAGATATTTGGTATCATGCTAAAAATCCATTTATACATCCAACCAAATCTTAAAAGGAGTCGACAGCAGGGTTTGAACCCAGTACTTACCATATGTAGAAAAAGCAAAGAAAAATTGGGGCAGAACCAGCAATCTGAAGGTGCCGCCAATCCTGAAGGCTGTAAGCTAACCCAGCCAGGATCATTTGTCCCAAAGCAAAAGTCACATGACTAACGATCAGGGTGTGTGGACGATAGGCAATGCCGACCCATTCAGTGCCTGTGAAAGATCAGAGGGGGAAAAAAGCAGAGGTCAGCCTGCTATCTCGCCCCCTACAAATCTGAAGAGTTCCCTTCGCTCTCTTCATCTTGATCAGTGATGGCGAACCTTTTAGAGATCGAGTGCCCAAACTGCAACCCCAAACCCACTTATGTATAGTCGGGTGCCGGGTGGGTGTGGCTGCGATAGTAACGGCAGACTGGGTGGGACTAAAAAGTTCAATCAATCAATTCCAACTTTGCGAGATCTTTTTTTTCCCCATGAGGTTGAAACTGATTGATCGATTGAAACTTTTTCTTATTGCACACGGTGGCGGAGGCCTAAAGCAAAAAGGTTTTATAAAACCGAGCTGAAGGCCTAGGACTGGGGCGATGGTGCGCGTGTCAACAGAGAGCTCTGCGTGCCACCTGTGGCACGCGTGCCATAGGTTCGCCACCATGGATCTAAATTGTTTAAGACTTGGAATAACCGAATCATCAACATCAGCATAATCATCAAAGACAACAGCACCTAGCACTTACTTATATACCACTTCACAGTTCTTTACAATCCTTTCTGAGCGGTTTACAGTCAGCCTATTGTCCCCCAACAATCTTTGCCCTCATTTAGATTCAGATAGATAGATAGATAGATAGATAGATAGATAGATAGATAGATGGATGGATGGATGGATGGATGGATGGATGGATGGATGGACGGATGGACGGATGGACAAACAGACAGAATGAATGGATGAATGGAAACAGATTAGATAGATAGATAGATAGATAGATAGATAGATGGATGGATGGATGGATGGATGGATGGATGGATGGATGGATAGATAGATAGATAGATAGATAGATAGATAGATAGATAGACAGATGGACGGATGGACGGACAGACAGAATGGATGGATGGATGGATGGATGGATGGAAACAGATTAGATAGAGATAGATGGATAGATAGATAGCGATAGATAGATAGATAGATAGATAGATAGATAGATAGATAGATAGATAGATAGGGGGGGATGGATGGATAGATAGATAGATAGATAGATAGATAGATAGATAGATAGATAGATAGATAGATAGATAGATAGATAGCTATACCAATACTAGTAGCACTCAAACTTATATTCCGTTTTACAGTGCTTTACAGTCCTCCCTGAGAGGTTTACAATGTCAGCCTGTGGCCTCCAACAATGTGGGTAATCGTTTTACCAACCTTGGAAGGATGGAAGGCTAAGTCAACCTTGAGCCGGTAAGGATCGAACTGCTGGCTACGGGCAGAGTCAGCCTGCAATGTTACATTCTAACCACTGCGCCAGCAGGGCTCTTATAATCACCTTATGTAAATGCACATCCCAGGATTAGGTTAAGGACTTACAGAGAGCTATGCTGCTTATAGAGATTCCAGAAAGAGCTGTTCCCAGCAGAAATCGGAGTGCACAATAGAGGTAAAAACTGGGGGCAAAGGCTACAGCAACTCCAGCCACCCCTTCCAGGAACAGAGATAACAAGGCAATGGGTCGTCGGCCACACCTGAACGAGAAGAATATTTGGTTAAGTTTGCCATTACAAGTAGACCCTGATTTACAACCATGTTCAAACTTACAATAGCGCTGGGGAAAAAAGTGACTAAAAAAAAGTTCCTCACACAACCATCACAGCATCCCCACAGTCACAGTCCTACATTTACGACGGATGCAGCGATCACCCTTTGCAACCTTCCCAATCAGCTTCTAACTGCGGAAAGCTGGATTTGGTTAACAGCCATGCGGTTTATTTAACTGCAGTGACTCGCTTAACAACCATGGCGAAAAGGTCATAAAATCAAGCTCAACTCACTTAACGACCGCTTTGCTTAACTACAAAAATTCTGCAATAGCGGCAAATATTTTAGCTCTGGTGTGGGATGAGGGTGGAGGTTTATCCGAGTTTATGGGTTGGTTTCCAAAAGGTTTGTTAGCAGGCTAGGTAATATCATCATCAGATTTTAGGGCAGGGGTAAGCCATCTTGGCTCTTTCATGACTTATGGACCAACTCCCAGAATTCCTGAGCCAGCATGGCTCAGCTTGGAAACCTCTCCCTTTCCCCTCAGCATGGCTGGCTCAGGAATTCTGGGAGTTGAAGTCCACAAGTCATAAAAGAGCCAAGGTGGCCTATCTCTGGCCTAGGCCTAGGCTGCTTTATGACTTATGGACTTCAACTCCCAGAATTCCTGAGCCAGCATGGCTCAGCTTGGAAACACCAGCTGGCAAACTTGGTACATGCAAGTTGTCTGTATTATTGTTGCAATGAATAAAATGTTTCTTTTATTTACGATATTTTTTTCTTCAATTTATTTGTGTCCTCCTTTTCATTGTAAAAAAGTTGGTCACCTTACTATATCTCTATTTAATAGTATTTCAGATGAGGAAATACTTTTGATCTAGGCCAGGGGTAGGCCACCTTGGCTCTTTTATGACTCGTGGACTTCAACTCCCAGAATTCCTGAGCCAGCATGGCTCAGCTTGGAAACCTCTCCCTTTCCCCTCAGCATGGCTGGCTCAGGAATTCTGGGAGTTGAAGTCCACAAGTCATAAAAGAGCCAAGGTGGCCTATCTCTGGCCTAGGCCTAGGCTGCTTTATGACTTATGGACTTCAACTCCCAGAATTCCTGAGCCAGCATGGCTCAGCTTGGAAACACCAGCTGGCAAACTTTGTACATGCAAGTTGTCTGTATTATTGTTGCAATGAATAAAATGTTTCTTTTATTTACGATATTTTTTTCTTCAATTTATTTGTGTCCTCCTTTTCATTGTAAAAAAGTTGGTCACCTTACTATATCTCTATTTAATAGTATTTCAGATGAGGAAATACTTTTGATCTAGGCCAGGGGTAGGCCACCTTGGCTCTTTTATGACTCGTGGACTTCAACTCCCAGAATTCCTGAGCCAGCATGGCTCAGCTTGGAAACCTCTCCCTTTCCCCTCAGCATGGCTGGCTCAGGAATTCTGGGAGTTGAAGTCCACGAGTCATAAAAGAACCAAGGTGGCCTACTCTAGTATAGGGGATGTCAGTGTCTGTGTTCTTCTGCTTATAAAGGCTTCGTATGTGGGTGTGTCAAGAGAGGGTCTTGTGATGTGTCTTGTGATGGGTCCCAGTTATATTTGTAAGTTGAGAGTTACTTTCAGAGAGAGCTCTTTCATCTAAGCTTAGGACCACAACCAAAAATGTTTGTACCGCTTTCCAAGCAAGTGGAAGTCTATCCAGATATGGACCTTAACCCCCAAAAGAAATATTCAGCCATCAATCCAGATCAACCCTCAGTTCCAAAAATTTGCTTAGTGAATGGCAAAACTTCCAAACAATTTGCTCTAACCCAGGGATGTCAAACTCACGACATCACGTGATGTTGTGCAATGTATTGGGCCAATTTTGCCATTGCCGGCAATGGGGTGGGTGCGTCTTCCAGATTACACGTCCGGCTCATGGGCCGGCAGTTTGACATCCCTACCCTAATCTTTTTTAGAATATAGGTAGTCCTCGACTTACAACAGTTCATTTAGTGACCGTTCGAAGTTACAACGGCACTTTAAAAAGTCGATTTAGGGCCATTTTTTTACACTCTCGACCATTGAAATGTCCCCCACAGTCATGTGATCAATTTTCAGATGCTTGGAAACTGACTCGTATTTATGACGGTCGCAGTGTCCCAGCGTCATGTGATCTCCTTTTGCGACCTTCTGACAAGCAAAGTCAATGGGGCAAGCCAGATTCGCTTAACAACCGTGTTATTAACTTAACAACTGCAGTGATTTACTTCAGAACCGTGGCGAGGAAGGTTGTAAAATGAGGCAAAACTCAATTAACCTAACAGCTGCAGTGATTCTCTTAACAACTTTGGCAAGGAAAGTGGTCAAATGGAGCAAAACTTAGTTACAAAGGTCTCACTTAGCAACAGAAATCTGGAGCTCCATTGTGCTGATAAGCCAAGAACTACCTGTAGTCTATTCCATGTCTGCTCCTGGCTTGATGTCAGCAAAGACCAAAGCGGGTCATTTTGCTCTCTTGAAGCCCCCCCTCTCTCCAGTTCCACACCTGGATGTGTGAAGGATTTGCCTAGCTGAGGGGTCTTCAAACTCGGCCCTTTTATGACTGATGGACTTCAACTCCCAGAATTCCTCAGCTGAGGAATTCTGGGAGTTGAAGTCCATGAGTCATAAAAAGCCCAGGTTTGAAGACCCCTGGCCTAGCTGGTCATAAAGGATGCCTAGTTTTTGGAAGCCACCCCTATGATCCTCCGGTTTGTCTTTCAAACCAGCCTCTTCTGCCCCTTCCCAAGTTTCTTTCCAGCCATAAATTGCTGTCTTCCATCCTGCACACTGGAATTATTTTGATCGCCTTACCAATCGCTCAACGGTCCTAACACAATTGCTCCAACGAGGAGGCCCGACATGAAGACGGACTGTGAGATATCAATTAAATCCTTTCTGTCACACACCAGGGAGAACTTAAGGGGGGAAAGGAAAAAATATTTAATGAAAAGGAACCAGACAGAGGAAATAACTTATTCCATGATCATAGTACATGCGTTACAAGAGGCACCACCAACAAGAAACAGGAGGTCCTAATCGTGCTACATAGGACTTTAGGCAGACCCTGTTTGGAATATTGTGTCCAGTTCTGGAGACCTGGCTTAAAAAAAAGACCTTGATAAGATTGAGCTAGTTCAGAGACAAGCAACGAAAATGGGGCAAGATCTGAGGAACAAAATGTATCAGGAGAGACTGGAGGAACTGAATAAATAAAGCCTGGAGGGCAGAAAGGAAAGTATTATTATTATTATTATTATTATTATTATTATTATTATTAATAATAATAATAATATCCGGTCTGAACATCTGGCTGACTGTGCGATGATCCATAATAATAATAATAATAATAATAATAATAATAATAATAATAATAATAATAATAATAATAATAATAAGTTGGAAGGGACCTTTGAGGTCATCTAGTCCAACCCCCTGCTCAGGGAGGAAACCCTACACCATTTCAGACAAATGGTTGTCCAGTCTCTTCTTAAAAACTTCCAGTGTTGGAGTGTGTGTGTGGGGGGGGGACATAATTGAAACTTTTAAATACATATAGTCCTCAGCTTACAACTGTTCATTTAGTGACCGTTCAAAATTACAACAGCACTGAAAAAAGTAACTTATGACCATTTTTCACCCTTATGACCGTGGCAGCATCTCCATGGTCACGTGATCTAAATTAGATGCTTGGCAACTGACTCATATTTATGACCGTTGCAGTGTCCCGGGATCACATGATCCCCTTTTGCCACCTTCTGACAAGCAAAATCAATGGGAAAACCAAATTCACTTAACAAGCGGGTCACTAACTTAACAAATGCAATGACTTTACTTAACAACGATGGCAAAAAAAGTTGTAAAATGGGGCAAAACTCACATAACAAATGTTTCACTTAGCAACATAAATTTTGGGCTCAGCTGTGGTCATAACTTGAGGACTACCTAGTGTGTTAAAGGTGTGAATAAGGTTCTAGATCAGGGGTGTCAAACTCAATTTCACAGAGGGCCGCATCAGCATTGTGGTTGCCCTTGGGGGGCCGGGTGGGTGTGGCCAGAGTGGGTGCAGCCTACTGGGTGGGCGTGGATGGAGTGGGTGTGGCCTACTGGGTGGGCATGGCCAGTTCTACATCATTCGCGTCAAGGGTGCCTGTGGGGGCCTGGGCAGGAGTGGGACAGATCTGAGGGTCTCTGGCAGAAGGGGGGGGGACCGGGGCAAGTGCCAAGGCATAGTCCACTGGGGCAAGTGCCAACATGGCCACCACACAATTGTACATTGGCTCCCGGCCGGCCTGGGCCAGATCCAAGGCAGCGGGGGCCGTTCCCTCACTGTTTCCAGGATAGCTTCATGGGCCACATGAAACCACTTCACAGGCCGCATCCGGCCCCTGGGCCTTGTGTTTGACATGTCTGGTCTAGAAGGCATTTTCAATATTAAGCAAAAATCAAGAACACAAGGGCATCACTTCAAACTGGCAGGAAGGAAGTTCAGAAGCCATGTTAGAAAGTCTTGCTTCAGGGAAATAGCAGAAGCCCAGAACCAACTTCGTGTGGAGGTAGGGGGTCCAATTGTCAGTAACTGATTTTAAACATGCTTGGGATAAACACATGTCCACTATCTGACACTTAAAAAGAATAAAAAAGCCTCGAAAGGCAGACTCAGTGGACCACTTTGGTCTTTTTCTACCATCAGTTTTAACAGAAGAACAGAATTGGAAGGAACCTAGTCCAACCCCCTGCTCAGGCAGGAAACCCTATACCAGTGGTGGCGAGCCTATGACACGGGTGCCAGAGGCGGCACTTAGAGCCCTCTCTGTGGGCACGCATGCCGTCACCCCAGTCCTAGGCCTTCAGCTAGGTTTTATAAAACCTTTTCGCTTTAGGCCTCTGCCGCCATGTGCCAAAAAAAAAAAAAGGTTCAATCAATCAGTCAATTTCAACTTCTCGCGGGGGGGGGGAATCTTGCAAAGTTGGAATTGATTGATTGAACTTTTTAGTCCCACCTAGTCTGCTGTTACCACCACAGCCATGCCCACCCAATGGGCCACGCCCACCCAATTGGCCACACCCACCCGGCACCCGACGATGCATAAGTGGGTTTTGGGTTGCAGTTTGGGCACTCGGTGTCTAAAAGGTTCGCCATCACTGCCCTATAACATTTCAGACAGATGGTGGTTCAATCTCTTCTTAAAATCCTCCAGTGTTGGAGCACCCACAACCTCTGGTGGGAAGCAGTTCCACTGGTTAATCGTTCTCACTATTAGGAAATTTCTCCTTTAGTTTCAGGTTGCTCCTTTCCTTGATTAGTTTCCATTCGTTGCTTCTTGTCCTGCCTTCAGATACTTTGGAGAATAGCTTGACTCCCTCTTCTTTGGGGCAGCCCCTGAGATACTGGAACTCTGCTATCATGTCCCCCCTCGTCCTTCTCTTCATTAAACTAGACATCCCCAATTCCAGCAACCTTTCCTTATATGTTTTAGCCTCCAGTCCCCTGATCATCTTTGTTCTTCTGGTCCAATCTACTGCTTGAGCAAGAGACCATATACCATTCTGGACAAAGGGCTGTCCGATCTCTTCTTACTTTTGATCCTTTCATTTGCATTTTTGTTGGACCTATGAGAAACAAGCTATTCTAAGATGGTAATGAGGCGAGAAAGTAAGCAAGCAAACCTGTATTCCGGTGAGCAGTTTAGGTATGGTTTCCCCCAAATAATAGTGTTGATCCTTAAGATCAGGGCTTTTCAACCAGTGGTACGGGTACCACCTGTGGTACATTGGCACTTGGCAGGTGGTACGCAACCATCCTAGAAAAGTGGTAGTGGGGGAGGGGAATGAGCTGAACCAGTGGCGGCAGCACCACACAAGCCTGAGCGAGAGATGGCTGGAGCTACAGGGCTGCCAGGGCTCAGTGGAAGCGCCAGGATGTTGCCATATCCTAAAAATGGTACAATGGGTGAAAAGGTTGAAAAGCCCTGTTTAAGATGACACAGCTTCAAGGGCCAGAAATATTGCACTGAACCAGTTCTCAAACCATGTCTCAAGTGCAGAAGAACCCTAGACACGATTTGAGAACTGGTTCAATGCAATATTTCTGGCCCTTGGCGCTGTGTCATCTTAAGCATCAGTACTTTGGGCAATTCACATTCTCTGTCCACATACCTTACAAGTAAGACATAGGGAAGTTTTGTTTGGATTTTAGTCGGAACACCATGGAAGGAAGGAAAGGGTTAAAAAAACCCGTATTAAATAATTAGGGTGGGCCATTTCAAATTGCAAGAGGATAATTGCATGTTGAATAGGCAGCTATGTTGCAATGCCCCCTACTGGTAGAAAGGCAGCAGGACAGGAGTCATCCAACACTTGCTTCTTCTTGCAGGATCCAAATGTGAGTTGGTCACTGGGACCAGAGGCTTTGTCTTCCAAATTTTCAGATTTGTGCTGGAGTCCATCTTCAGCAGTTTTGTGTGTGCACTTTTGTTCTGTCTCTAGTCCCGGTGACAGATCCAGATTGGATCCTGCAACATTATCCTGAGACAGGTATATTCTCCCTGCATCTTCTTGTCTATACAGAAAATTTCCTTCCCTTTATACCACATAAGCTGCAGGAAAGTTGCACTACACGATCTGTAAGCCAACATTCAGCAGTAAGAATTTCTTATTTCCTTTCGGTAGTTTTTTTTTCTTTCTTTCCCAACCTGGAGGGAGTTTCTTAAGCCATTGGGCTATAGGTCTCCAACTATGGTTTTTATTAATCAGCTTCCGAGCAGCATTTATTTATTTATTCATTCCCCAGAGGATGAATATTTATCATTCATTGATTAATTCGCTGTCTAATCCAACCAACTATCCATCCTGCGACCTTATGGTCATCCAGATTGCTTAGCTAGTGAAATTGGAGAGGCATAAAAAAAAAAATCTGATAATAAATCTTTTAAAAAGTCAGATTTATTTGATTTATACCATAGAACAGGGGTCCCCAACCCCAGTCCATGGACCAATACTGGGCCGCAGCATGCCAGCAACCGGTCCGCACAAACAAGCAAAGCCCCATCCGTGGGATGCAGACAGCACACAAAAGCACGCACTCTCTGGTCCGTGGAAAAACCTCTCTCCATAGAAACGGTCCCTGGTGTCCAAAAGGTTGGGGACCTCTGCCATAGAAGATACCCTATGCATCACACAAAGAAGCAAGGCATTTTGAAAGTGCCATGTGGAAAAAAATTTCTGCTCATATTTAATAGTAAGCAGCAGACATTCCTGGTGTTTAGAAGCACTTCTTCACATACTCCAAATCTTGTTTTTATTTTCCACGCAACCACAAACCCCTGAGGTGGGTTGGGCTGAGGGAGAGAGGGACTAACCTTGACTCTTTTATGATGGTGGACTTCAACTCCCAGAATTCCTGAGCCAGCCATGCTGAGGGGAAAAGGAGAGGTTTCCAAGCTGAGCCAGGCTGGCTCAGGAATTCTGGGAGTTGAAGTCCACGTGTCATAAAGCGGCCTAGGCCTAGTCCAGGGTAGGCCACCTTGGCTCTTTTATGACTCGTGGACTTCAACTCCCAGAATTCCTGAGCCAGCCATGCTGAGGAGAAAGGGAGAGGTTTCCAAGCTGAGCCAGGCTGGCTCAGGAATTCTGGGAGTTGAAGTCCACCAGTCATAAAGCGGCCTAGGTCTAGGCCAGAGGTAGGCCACCTTAGCTCTTTTATGATGGTGGACTTCAACTCCCAGAATTCCTGAGCCAGCCATGCTGAGGGGAAAGGGAGAGGTTTCCAAGCTGAGCCAGGCTGGCTCAGGAATTCTGGGAGTTGAAGTCCATGAGTCATAAAAGAGCCAAGGTTGCCTACCTCTGGACTAGCCCACTAGCCGGCTTTTGTGCCTGAGATAGAACTAGAACTCACAGCTTCCAAGCTTCTAATCCAGCTTCTAATCCTAACCACAATATCAAAGTAGCTCATGGAGTGAGAGGGAAGGATTGGCCAAAACTCTCCTAGGGCAAAGTTCCCCAACTTTTTTGGCTTTGCAGACCGGGGGGACGGGCGGGGGGAAGGAATGGTCTCATGCATGCAACAGGTAAGCACACCACAGCTCCATTTGCACAAGGGGTGGGCAAGTGTGCATAGGTCCACTTGTGTGAGCGGTGGGCACGTGCGCCCACCACTCACACAAATGGAGCTCATGCACGTGCTGTCGCCCACGGTTCGCATGATTGGGGATGTGCATGTGGTTGCCCTTCATTTCCGCAGCCTGGTTCTGAAGGGCTCAAGGTGTGTTGGTGGGCTTCGACTCGGAGCTTGGGGACCCCTATCCTAGGTAGATTCTGAATTTGAGGAGAACTAGAGTGAAATGTCTAGATCAGTGGTTCTCAACCTTTTTAATGCCGCGACCCCCAACCAGTCGTAAGTCGAGGACTACCCAATCGGTCGTAAGTCGAGGACTACTCAACTGGTGCAGCACTGTTTGTAGAATGGGACTTTTGGTGGGCTCAGCAGGGCAGAGACAGCCTGGACAATTCCTATTGGCTTTGGAAAGCCAATAGAATTAGATGCTATTCAAGAGAGTAGAATAAAAGGGAGTAGCACAGCAAAGGAAAAGGGGGAAAAAGTGGCGGACTGCGTTGTTTGGCGACCCCCGTGAAATGGTCGTTCGACCCCAAATGGAGTCCTGACCCACAGGTTGAGAACCACTGGTCAAGATGGAGGTGAAGAGAGGTACTGTTCCAAATTCTCCTGGCTGGCTTGGGTGCCTAAGGGAGGACTAGAATTCTCAATTGCCTGGTTTCTTGTCCAGCACCTTCATTACAGCACCAAACTAGCTCCCCTGATATCCTGAGAAGGAATAATCCAGCAAGCATAGGATTCCTTACTGTGGTGGCAAGTAACAAAAAGCCGATGTGCGAGAAGAGTATCAGATTCTTCAATCACGAAGTCACGTTAAATTATGGTCTATCTCAGGGGTCTCCAAACTTGGCAACTTTAAGACTTGTGGACTTTAACTTTAATTCCTCAGCCAGCCATGCCACAAGTCTTAAAACTGTTAAATTTGGAGATCCCTGGGCTGTCTAGGTAGCTATCCAGGTGTCAATGTGACTTTAGATTGAATTTCTTGTTTTTTATCATCCAAGGGAGCTGTGAGTTTCTGAGTCAGCTTGCAGTTAAATGCTGGATTTCATGGTTTTGTTTCTTCACAGAAGCTACCAGATTTGGCTTGCAAATGTTCAGATAGACCAGGGCTTTTCAACCTTTTCACCCACTGTGCCACTTTTAGGATATGGCAACATCAGAGTACCACCAGTCACCTAGCAAGGGGTCAAAAACTTGATGACCACAAAAAAAAAAAAAGGAAAAAAGTGATAAAGTACAGGTAGTCCTCGACTTACAACAGTTCACTGAGTGACTGTCCAAAGTTACAATGGCACTAAAAAAGTGCCCCCCAAGCCACAGCTGAGCAAGACACCTGCTTGTTCACCCAGTGGCACTCTTCCTCCTGTCCAAGGTTTTCATTGTTGTGTGCGTTTCTGTTGAGGATTGGCAGTGGGGGTGGGGTGAGGGGGTGTTTGGTTTTTATTCCCCCCGTCTCCTGGGTGGTTGCAGCAGGTTTTGGTCACTTCACATGACCCTGGGACACTGTGACCGTCATAAATATGAATCAGTTGCCAAGCATCTGAATGTAAATCACAAGACCTGGAGATGCTGCAACATTCTAGTTGATCGGCGCTTCTTCAGGGCTCAGCAGAAGCACCAGGATCAGTGCCGTGCTCCAGCTGGAGCCTGGCGCTGATTCTGTCTCTTCCACTGTGCCCTGACAGCCCTGCAGCTCCAACCATCTCTCGCTCAGGCTTGTGTGGTACTGCCACCGGTTCAGCTCATTCCCTTCCTCTGCTACCACTTTTCTAAGATGGTCACGTACCACCTGCCAGGTGCCAATGTACCACAGGTGGTACCCGTACCACTGGTTGAAAAGCCCTGAGATAGACTACTGCTTGTAGGAGACACCACTAGATAGCAACAAGGGGTTAGATGTTTTCTGTATCTCTTTGCTGCCATCTACAGGTCATCTGAATTTTAATAACCCAAATTGAGTAGCTTAAAACAGTAGTTCTCAACCTTTTTAATGCCACGACCCCCAACCGGTCGTAAGTTGAGGACTACTCAACCGGTTGTAAGTCGAGGACTACTCAACTGTTTGCAGAATGGGACTTTTGGCGGGCTCAGCAGGGCAGAGACAGCCTGGACAATCCTATTGGCTTTTGAAAGCCAATAGAATTAGACTCTATTCAGAGGCCAATGGAATAAAAGGGAGTAGCACAGCTAAGGAAAAGGGGAAAAAATGGCGGACTGCGTTGTTTGGTGACCCCCGTGAAATGGTCGTTCGACCCCAAATGAGGTCCCGACCCACAGGTTGAGAACCACTGCTCTAAAACCTAACATCCTTTGTAGGCAGTCAAACTGTAGAATGTATTGTAGCTGAATATACTAGAATGAATCTTTTCAGTCTTTCTTCTCACTTCCTATCAAATCTCTAACTGGCAAACTTTCAAATCTCCTAGTAAGTTTTTTTTAATGTATCTAATTAACAATTCTTGGCAGTTTAAAAGCTTTCTCTTTTGCAATTTCAAGTTGGCCAAACAAATGCATTGCTGTCACACCGATTTTGAATTTTTTTCTTATAGTCTAAAACTTCTTTATCTATTTAGGAAACTAATATATCCCCTAATCCTAACTGCTCTGAAGGGTTTACCAAAACTAAATATAATGCAGTGGATTCTCAACTTTGATCACTTTAAAAATCTCTGGATGCATGCTGGTTAGGGAATTCTGGGCATTGAAGTCCAGACCTTTTAAAGTGGCCAAAACTTAATATAATGCAACTATGCAGGAGGAAAATGAAATCATTAAAAGACCCAAAGCCCAGATCATTTTTTTAGGCTTCTCCACAGGTCATTAGAAAGGAACCTGGAAGAAGCACAGTGTTGATGAATCCAGTGAAACCAGATGAAGTGCATGGATGGAAGCCAAGGTTCCTTGGTGCTCTGTAAGCTTGGTTATTTTCTTGCAGACGTTTCATTACCAAACTAGGTAACATCATCAGTGCTTTGGGTAATGAAACATCTGCAAGAAAATAACCAAGTTCAGAGAGCACCAAGAGTCCTTCATTTCAACTCTGAGCTGCAAATATTCTCCTTTATTGGATGGAATTCACTCTGAGATCTAGGTTCTATAGAACTATGGGTCCTTAACATGAAAATGTCCATTGGACTTTCAAAGTAGCTAAAAATTGGGGCAATGGATCAGTACAATGTGATATGGTGTGTCTCTTCTAACAAAAACCAATCATCCCGTGTAGCAATCTGGAGTAGACCCCCATGTCTGGTCTTTAAAGGGCTACTTGTAGGTGGGGGGAAATTTAATCTCCTTATTAATTGCAGGCAGTTGCCCAGAGACAACTTCTATTGCAAATATTATGCTTACTTTCTCTCGTTTATTTTTGCCTTTTAACTCCTGGCAGAAAAACCTCCCAGTTTTATACAAAAACTAAACATTTAATTCAAGAAGAAAAAGAGATTCCCAAACCTGAGTAACCAGAGAAGGTTTTGGATTGGAAGGATAAATCCATCCATCTTGGCACTTCTCTGTTGAATTCAATCCAGACTGCGGGATGGTCTCCAAGTTGGTTTCCACAGGAGTATACATGAGACATTGTTCTAAGGTCCCGTCAGGTTTTCGGGGAATGGTCAAATTCAGCTTCTCCTCTTCGGTCAAGTTCAAGCGGACGGTGTCCAACCAATTAGTGTTGCAGTGATGAGACACTGGAAGGACCATGAATAATTGGCTGAACATATGAAAACCAACGAAGGGTGAAATTATAGTGATCATCAGTACCAGCCAATGTTGGAATCGGCCAAAATCATTAAGAGCTTTGATGATTTCTCCAATATCAGTCATGGCTGTTTTCTTTCTGCCTTTCTCTCTGCTACTATCTACCCTCAGTCTAATCTGTCTACTCAAATAACCCTCTGGAATTCAACCACCTCTGGAATTAATGGTTAAACACAGTATAAACTTTGACATAACACTCAGTGAAGCACAGGAACGGTATTCTTAATAATAGCCTTAATACATGACATGTTACACTTTCACAGCCACCCTTTGTGTAAAAGATTAATTGCCAACTTTGCAGCTTACCAACCAAAGAGAGCAAAGCTCATAAGGAGCCATCAAAAGTGAAGGGAAATGGAAAGATTGACAGCCTCAGAGGAAGAGAGGTGTCGTCTCACTTTCAAAAATTTTAATTAAGATATCTTTTGAAGAGAGAGGTCTATTTTTCACAGGGATGACAGTCTGAAGAATTTAGTCGAAATCAGAGGAGTGGGTGATGGGATTTTTGAGGGGGCAATAATATAATTGATGATGTAATATGATTGATGGCATCCTAACCAGGGACAACTTACATAATTCACACATTAATTATAAACCATGTTGTAGAAATCCTAAAGGCTATGTGCAAAACCATGCTAATATGGGTTTGCACATTGTCTGATTTGGACACCTTATGTAAGAACCTAGCCCTCTGGAGAGGTAGAAGAAGACAACCAGGATCAACAGGGATGGGTCAGTTGCAAAAGCAATTGGTACACCATTGAAATAACTGAAGAATTAGGTTGGCAACAGATCATCCTGGAGAAGGTATATCTAGAAAAAAAATAACCAGAATAACAGAGTTGGAAAGGACTTTGGAGGCAGGAAGCCTATTCCTTTCAGATAAATTGTTGTCCAATCTCTTATTAAACTTGTCCAGTTATGGAGCACACACAACTTATGGAGGCAATTTGTTCCACTGATTAATTGTTCTTACTGTCAGAAAATTCCTCCTTAGTTCTAGGTTGCTTCTCTCCTTGATTAGTTTCCATCCGTTGCTTCTTGTCCTGCCTTCAGATATTTTGGAATGGGTTGACCCCTTCTTTTTTGTGACAGCTCCTCAAATATTGGAAGACTGCTATCATGTCATCCCTAATCCTTCATTTCATTAAACTAGACATGGCCATGTGGCTGGAGTCAACACCAACTTGATGGGGAACAATCAGACAATCAATCTGTCAATGTGAAGCTCCTGCTTTCTGGAGAAGTGTATCGTGCTGGGAAAGACGGAAGGAAAGAGGTCAGCCATCCAGAAGGTGGGTGGATTTAGTTAGTGTCAATGGGTGTGCTCTTGGAAGAAATGAAGGACCAAACTGAGGAACATCATTCTAGAGAAAGTGTGACTCTTAACACTAACTTGATGGCACATAATCAATAAGCCAACCAATCTATGCGAACACCCAGCACCCTGGTGGAGTCTATGATGCTGGGATAGGTAGAAGGAAGGAAGGGGCAACCAGCAGCAAAGAGGAAGGATTCAGTTACAAATGTGATGGGTGCACTGTTGGAAGACTTGCTACAGATTGTCTTGGAGGGTATGAAACACTGATTGCTCAATCCATCTATCTTGTCTGAGCCCTGATTTGCTAATTATCTGCAAGATCCCAAAACAAATTCCCATGTCATGTTTTGGTCCTCACTTGATTGCAATTACCCTAGACAAGAAAAACTTGGGCGTTGAGGACATAGTTAGCTGAAGCTAATGAATTGCAATCCTCCAGAAAGACTTGCAAAGTGGTCTCTCTCCATCTTTCTTACGGGTCCTAGATGTTGTGAGGATCCCTCTTCCTATTGCAGTGTTTTTCAACCTTGACCGGTTGATGAGATGTGGACCTCAATATGGACTGGAGAATTCTGGGAGTTGAAGTCCACACACCTTCAAGTGGCCAAGGTTGAGAAACATCTATTGAATTGGGAAACCTGGGGAAGGATGTTTTGATTAGCGTCATTCCTCCAACCTACATTTGTCAGTCTCTTTGGCTGCAGGGAGGATATCCTGTGAGGTAATTCTTATTGAATGTTCACAATTCGAAGTGATATTTCTGAGGAAAATATAGTACAGGCAGTCCTCGTCTTATAACTACAATTAAGCCCAACATTTCTGTTGCTAAACAAGAAAGTTGTTAAGTGAGGTTTGCCCCATTTTACAACCTATCTTGCCACAGTTGTTAAGTGGATCACTGATGTTAAGTCAGTAACACAATTGTTCAATGGTTTCCCCATTGAGTTTGCTTGTCAGAAGGTCACAGCAGGGGATCACATGACCCTGAGGCAATGCAACCACCATAAGTACATGCCAGTCTGATCACGTGAGAATGGGAATGCTACAATGGTCGTAACTATGAAAAATGATGTCACTTTTTTCAGTGCCATTGTAACCGTGAACAGTCACTAAAAGAATGGTTGTGAGGGCTACTTTTAATTGGTTCCTGCTTGGCAGAAACAGGCAATGAAAAAATTTAAATATTCTGATTTTAACTAATGCCGTGTTTACCAGTACAAAGCACTTTTAAACAAAGAATTACAATTTAACTATTTATAATGCCACGTCCCTATTTCCCACATGTGAGTGTGTTATTGGTAAACCACTTGCGATATCTGCAGAAAAAAGAAAACAGAACTTTAACACTCCCCAAAGTAATGGATATTTTTTATTGATTAAAAATTAGAGAAATGACATGCAATAAAATACAAAGTCAAAGGGGGAAAAAAGGCTGAATATTTTACATCTTTTGTTAAAATCTACAATACACCAAATTGTGTAGAGGTTTCTTTTATATTAATACACCACCCCTCCTCAAGGCTATTAACTAAGTTTTTAAAAATACAAACCAATTTCTAGGTTCAAGTTCAAAATTTACCCAAAATAAAAACCCTCTGATCCGCAAGGATATAAAGGTTAGAAATAATTTCTAAACTACTAAACAACAACAACAACAAAAATCATTGGCACTTTTTGAACCTCAAGAATAAAATAGTTGTCTAGCACTTCTAGTATCCAGAGGGGGGGGGGAAAGAAAAAAAGAAAAAGAAAATACTATTTATTAAGAGACAACAGGCCGAGAAATATAGTAGCAAAGTAGTTCTGGATCATTGAAATAATCATTATTATAATAATACACGGGAACAGCCATTAGGGATATTCTTGTCTGCTACACCTGGATTAGACAGAGACAGGAATGAAGAAGGAGTGAGTATATAGATAGCTACTGCATCAAGATACAGTGGATTCGAAGGTACGCGCAACATGCAGGCCTAGTGATTTAATACTGTACCAGAATTATTTGCTCTCTGTAGCTGAAGATGGGATGAAGTAAAACGGATAGCTACTTTGTTCCTCACGCTGGCCATATGCCATCTCAGGGTACCCCGATTCAGGGCCACAACCCACCCCCCCTTTCAGCAAGAGATCCTCTTTCCGCGTGATCACACCTGGGCATGGATATTGGGACGAAGGCTGTGCCCTGCAGTGACAATAACATCACTGGTTCCAAAGAATTTCTGGCCAAACAGAAGCAGAAGTTTCATGGAGCCTCTGAGAGCGCTTCCCTCATCCAGGTGAGGACCCAGCCCCCCTCCCCCCCAGTTCAGAGGTCTATCCCAAACAATTAACCAAGAACGGTTGACTTCTGCCCCTCCTGAAGGATTTTAAATCAAGAAAATGACTTCAAGGATTCATTCAAGAATATACCGTAGCTTGCTTGTTCATAAGTCACCTAGCCCAAGGGTGGGAAAGTTTGGAAGTTTTGGAGAGGTCACACACAGACACACTAACTCAGCCCAAGCAGTTCTCTTTTCAGCCTCCACCCCATAACTGCTGTATAAACATTTCTGCTTTTCAAGCTCTTTCTTCAATAGGTGTCCACATCTGGAGCAGTTCTGCTAATGACCTATGAGCAGATCTAGCGACACAAAAATTAGAGGTGAACAATAAATACATCAAACAATAAAGGAAAACTAGCCCCCATGGCTGCTTGGAGAAGAAAAATGTATTGCATCAGAAGATCTGAGAACCCCAATCTCCACTCTCCACTTACCCATCTCAGGAGATTCAATGTGGACACAAATTGGAGAGGGATCTGTGTAACAGCTCCCTCTCCCAATATTCCACAACATGTTGTGAGGACATTTATTACTGTCCTAAACCTGAGTTTAGAAACCAGGTTTGGAAGCTTAAATGTCACGTTGGTTCAATCAGCAATGAAACAAAAGGAGGAGGAGCTATATAAAACAGTTCATAATGTCTTGCCTGGGCCCCACACCCTATCTATCAAAAAGCTACATCCAGGGATGAGGCTTAACTCCATTGGTTTGCTGTGCAAATTAATATTAAGGCGAAAACAATGTGGATGTACAGAACACTTCAAAGCTAAGCAGTGATACACAAAAACGGGAGGGGTCGAGTGGCTGCTATAGGATGGGGAGAGAAATCCATACCATTTTATTGTTCACATCGTGCATTATAAATGTTTCTTTTTTCCCCAAACTAAGTATATAATTTATAGGTTAAAAATCCAAAACAACAGAAAGGAAAAAAAAAACAACCATACCAGATACTAATAATGTCTTAAAAAACAAACCAACACTAAATATGAGTTATAGTGGTTTCAGTTACTTTATGTTGATCAAACTTTTGATATGTGAGCAGAGTATTTTTTTTTAAAAAAAGAAACAAAACACTATTGGCAAATTCCAAGCAGTGCAGCAAAGCATCGATTTGCCAGATATGTATCTATCTGGCAATTTCATTTATTGCTGTAAAAACTGAACAGGGGCGGTTTCATATTTACCACTCTATGAAGGAAGGACGTAAGAAAGGTAAAAGGATTTTTAATGAAATGGGTGGGGTTTTGGGGGGGGGATTAAAATGGGAATTAGGAAATCATCTGCAGTGGTCAGTGGTAGAAAAGACTCACGTTTAGAGAATTCCTAATTGCCAGTCCATACAATCAACTTCCGCTCCGTCCCACGTGCAAAGGACATCTGGTTTATGAATTGTCACATGCTGAACTACACCTGAAGGATTTAAATGACTTCCAGCAGACTTGCAAAACAATCTCAATAGCCTACTTACACAGGAATCCCTTCGGCAAAAAACAAGAGACCATCTTTTGGATGAGAAAAATATGCAGACTGATGAGAGAGGAAATACGTCAGAATAAGGCAGTCTGCGTGCCAGGTCTTCTGCAGAACCTCAGACTTTTCTGAGGATTCTGTCACCAGAATGCCACGATTTTAAAGAAGCTGGAAATTATTTCAGGGTTATGGGTAGATTTCTCTTGGCGGAAATCCAATTTTCTCTTGCTTTCCACCAGGAGATTCTTGAGGGATGTTTGAGGAAGAGTGGAAACCCAACAACCAAATCTGATAAATCTGAAAGGCTGAAATTTTGTCTTCTGAGGAAAGTTCAGGAATATTCATTCTGGCTGTGCCACTCTCCCTTTTTTTGCCCAGATAAGCAACTGAGCATAAGCAAGTTTCAAAAGGAAACAAGAGCGTGATAAAGAAAAGTACACAAGATGGATCTTTGGAATGGAACATCCTCTAGTCTAGTTTGTGTGCTGCAAAATCCTCTCCTTGGCCTGGTGGACGGCCAGCTTCTACGTGTGGTCCCTGCCTCTTGCAGCAGAATTGCTCTTTTCTATCCATTGCGCAATTGTCAAGGCTGCTTAGATAATGATGAACAAAATATTTTTGGCACCAGATGTTTCAACCATTGGGTCTATATTGTCAGTCTACCAGAACAAGGGTGAGTGGGGAGAAGGCCCAGCGAGACAGCCAATGGAGGATGAAGGAAACACAGCTGCACAGAAACATAATGTTTCTTCACCGATAACTTGATTGCAAATAGAAGGGGAAAAATTAAGGCTAGTTTTATCTCAGGCCAAGCAATTCCTTCTGCGCCCTGAATATAGAAAAGGTGGCTTAAACCAAGGATTTCACTTATTCAAGATTTCACTCAGTTTTCTGCAGTAAATTCAGCCTGTATTCTGACACTCCGCAACAGCTTCCACTGTTATTGGTTTTTTTTTTTATTAAAAATACCTGCCTGGTTAGACGGACCATAAATCAAAATGTCTTTGCTGTTTACCAGTCAGGTAAAAATGATCCAACTCATCACATCAGGACAATTGTTAAGGAGCAGCGAAACCCTTCTTTCGTACTCAGTAGTAATGTTTCTATTTTTTGTTAGTTTTTAAATAGTTAAGGCAGACATTCCCAACCAGAGGTCTTCTGGTTACATCCCGACAACCCCTGGAATTCCCGGCCCTCTTAGCTATAAAGCCAAAAGTTGTAGGCACAGCCTAGTTGGTGGGCACTCAGCTGGGGAAGGCTGAGTTAAGGCAATAATAAGTACAAGCATGCGGGGGAGGAGGGAGGGAGGGAATGGGAGAGAGGGAGGAAGGGAAGGGAGGGAGGAAAGAAGGAATGAGGGAAGGAAGGAAGGAAGGAGGGAAGAAGTAGAGGAGCAAGAGAGGGAAGGAGGGAAGGAAAGGAAGTAAGTAGGGGAGGGAGGGAGGAAGGGAAGGGGAAAGAAGGAAAAAAGAAAGGAAGGAAGTAGGGGAGGGAGAGAGGGAAGGGGAAAGAAGGAAGGAAGGAAATAAGTGAGGAACGGAGGGAGGGAAGGAGGAAGAAAGGAAATAAGTGAGGAACGGAGGGAGGGAAGGAGGAAGAAAGGAAATAAGTGAGGAACAGAGAGAGGGAGGGAAGGAGGAAGGAAGGAAAGAAGTAGGGGAGGGAGGAAGGAAGGAAGTAGAAGAGAGAGGGAGGAAAGGAAGGGAGAAATGAAAGAAGGAAGGAAAGAAGAAAGGAAGGAAGGAAATAAGTGAGGAATGGAAGGAGGGAAGGAGGAAGGAAGAAAGGAAATAAGGGAGGGAGGGAGGAAAGGAGGAAGGAAGGAAGGAAGAAAAGTAGGGAAGGGAGGAAGGAAGTAGAAGAGAGGGAGGGAGGGAGGGAGGAAAGAAGTGAGGAACAGAGAGAGGGAGGGAAGGAGGAAGGAAGGAAGGAAGGAAGGAAGGAAGGAAGGAAGGAAAGAAGTAGGGGAGGGAGGAAGGAAGTAGAAGAGAGAAGGAGGGAGGGAGGGAGGAAAAAAGGAAGGAAGGAAAGAAGTGAGGAACGGAGGAAGGAAAGGAGAAGGATGGTTGGGAAGATGGGAGGGAAGGATGGTTGGAGAGAGGGAAGGGAGAAAGGGAGGGAAGGAGGGAGGAAAGGAGGGAGGGAGGCAGAGGTGGGGGAAAAACAGTGGGTGGGTGGAACAGAAGCCAAATGCCTCCAAGGCAGTAGTGTTGTAGACCTCCTTGATGCTACTTGGGAAGAAATGAAGTTAAAGCTTCTAAGAACGAGAGGGCCTGTAGTTTTGGTTCTTTGGCAGGAGTGGTTTTGCTTTTTTGGCCAACAGAAGCATTTGTACGTTGCACCTATGGATTGCGACCATAAGCACGGAGTGTTGTTTTTAGTTGATGCTGAGCTGAGCAAATCCAATAAGTTTGCTGTCATCGGGTATTTCAGACACTTCCACGCCTGATGCCTGAAATGCAAGGAAACAGAATCCATTGTTTTACCAGGACACGAAAAGGACCGAGGCCTTGAAGGACAGGAGCCAAAGCTACGATCAAGACTAGAGTCAGATTAAAAAAGAGAGAAAACTTGAGTCCAGAGCAGGGCTACCACAAAGAAGAGGCAGTCAAGCTATTCTCCAAAGTACCTGAAGGCAGGACAAGAACCAATCAAGGAGAGAAACAACCCAGAACTAAGGAGAAACTTCCTGACAGTGAGAATAATTAATCAGTGAAATGGCTTGCTTCTACAAGTTGAGGGTGTTCCATCACTGGAAGTCTTCAAAAAGAGACTGGACAGCCATTTGTCCGTAATGGTGCAGGGTCTCCTGCTTGAGCAGGGGGCAGGACTAGAAGACCTTCAAGGTCCCTTCTAGCTCTGTTATTCTGTCTTCTCCAACTTGGGCATTTTCCAGATCTGTGGACTTCAGCAACCTGAATCCCCAGCAGTGATGATGGTGGTTGAAATATCCTAGTCCAGGGGTGGTGAACCTATGGCCCGGGTGCCAGAGGCGGCACTTAGAGCCCTCTCTGTGGGCACGTGCGCCGTCTCCCCAGTCCTAGGCCTTCAGCTGGGTTTTATAAAACCTTTTCGCTTTAGGCCTCCACTGCCATATGCCAAAAAAAAAAAAAAAAAAAAGGTTCAATCAATCAGTCAATTTCAACTTCTCGAGGGGGGGGAATCTTGCAAAGTTGGAATTGATTGATTGAACTTTTTAGTCCCATCCAGTCTGCCGTTACCACCGCAGCCACACCCAGCCAATGGGCCACGCCCAGCCAATCGGCCACACCCACCTGGCACCCAATGATGCATAAGTGGGTTTTGGGTTGCAGTTTGGGCACTCGGTCTCTAAAAGGTTCACCATCACTGTCCTAGGGCATGAAATCCACAGATCTAAAATGAATCTAATAAATGAAAGCCGATCTACTTTTAAAAGATAGAGACAATAACCAACTCGACAAAAAAGATATAAAAACATGCCTGGCATTCAACTCAATCCAAGCACATTGGATATCCGGAAATAAACCAGCTTCAATCCATTGCTTAATATTTGCAGAGCACAAACATTTTTTGTTGAGCTGAACAAATGCAGCATTTGGCCAAAAGAGGTTGAAGCAACTTTTTAGAAAGATTTGAATAGTCAGGGGGAATATATATATATATATAAATACCAGCTTGAAAGTGACTGATCGGTTCGTCTGAGGCTCTTCCACAATTTTTTGCAAGTTCGCAGCAACTGAAACAATAGGGAAGACACACTCAGTGATGGGCATCTCAGTTTTATGAACAAATCCCCCCCCCGCCCCCGGGCATCAGCCAAGAATATACAGGCAAAAGGAAGGTCAGCTTGTCCTGCTGTGTCTGAAAGCAAAATAAAGTGACACAAACTGGCACGGGGCTAAAAATCTCAGGGAATTTTTTCTCTATAAGGCTTGCATTACCTATAACTAAATCTCTGCCATCCACCAGTCCAGCCGAGATGAGTTCTTGGGATACTCCATCTGCAGTGTCTGGAAAGAACCATAATTAGACAGATAAATCCATGCTAGATACCATCTATTTCAGTGGTTCTCAACCTGTGGGTCAGGATCCCATTTGGGGTCAAACGACCATTTCACGGGGGTCATCAAACAACGCAGCCCGCCATTTTTTCCCCCCTTTTCCTTAGCTGTGCTACTCCCTTTTATTCTATTGGCTTTTGAAAGCCAATAGAATAGACTCTCTTGAACAGAGTCTAATTCTATTGGCTTTCAAAAGCCAATAGGAATTGTCCAGACTGTCTCTGCCCTGCTGAGCCCGCCAAAAGCCCCAGTCTGCAAACAGTGCTGCACCAGTTGAGTAGTCCTCGACTTACGACCAGTTGAGTAGTCCTTGACTTACAACCGGTTGGGGGTCGTGGCATTAAAAAGGTTGAGAACCACTGAGCTAGATGCTATCTTTGATTCCACCACTTATACTCTGGAGATATCTGATTCTATCTAGTTTTTGTTTTACAGATACAGGTAGTCTTCAACTTATAACCATTCGTTTAGTGACTGTTTAGTTACAATGGTACTGAAAAAAGGGACTTATGACCGTTTTTCACACTTATGGCCATTGCTGTGTCCCCGTAGTCACGGGATCAGAATTCAGATACTTGGCAACTGGCATGTATTTACGACAGTTGTACTGTCCTGGGATCACCTTTTGTGACCTTCCCAGCCAGCTTCCGACAAGCAAAGTCAATGGGGGAAGCCAGATTAGGTTAACAACTGCATATTCACTTAACAACTATACCTAAAATGGTCATAAATTGGGGCACAACTCACTTAACAATTGCCTTGCTTAGCAACAGAAAGTTTGGATTCCATTATGGTTGTCAAGAGTTACCTGTAGTCCTTGTGTAATGATGGTCATTGGGACTGGCAATTCTGTTGCTGGGCAATGTGGCAGTAATGTGGAACTCACACAACCTTGCTGGCTTATGACCATACTTTTAGTTGCTGTCATTAAGTGAGACATCACGTTATCACAACTTGTATCCTTCTGCAGACTTTCCTATTGACTCTGCTGATTAGAGGATGGCAGTGAAGGTCACAATCTGGCAATCAAGTGACTATGAGATGTCGTGACTGTCTAAACTGCACAACACCTACCAAGTGCCCAAATCACAATCATGTGACTACAAGGATCCTGCAATGGCCGTAATTTTGAGGACCTGGTTGTAAGTCTCTTCAATTGGCACCATTGTAAGTTTGAACAGTCGCTGAAGAAACGGTCTTAATGACACACTTATTTAGTGGCTGTTCAAACTTACAATGACATTGAATGAGAACTGCCTATATATAACCTTGCCTTTATTTTATTATTTTATTATAATCTATTTAGGACATCTTGTGGAAGAAAGCGAGAATATATTCCTTTTTTTTTTTTTTTAACCAGAATCACTGCAAAGGTTTGCAGTATTTCATGAGAGATTGAGCTACGATTGATTAGTTGAAAAGGTAAAGGATGCTACACATCACCAGGTAATAGCCACAGGATTGAGTTAAACAGTTCTTCATCTATAATTCCCATAATCCTCAGCCAAAATGGGAAATGGTCACACAAGTAAGTCATCTGGAAGTCACAAGGCCCTTTATGATCCTCTGAGAAGTTGCACATTCAGATTAAATCTCAAATCAAAGGCATCCGTATGACACATTGCGAAGATTTTAGTCCTTGAACAAACAGATTTGCTTTCAACTCCATCTTTCAAACATTTTGGGAGCCTCTATCTAGAAAAGATCCAGCAGGCCTATGGATTCATTTTTTTAAAAAATGAGAATTTTCTTATCTGCTCTATCATGGGACACGACTTTGCTTTATATTTAGGGAATCTCTTTTTAACTGGGACTTTTGACATGTACCCCCCCCCCCATCAGCATACAGCCTCCAAACAAAATCTGGTCACTAATGGGCTTTTTTCATCCCGCTCACCTCTTCCGGGTGTGAATTCAAATCGGATGTCATTCAGCTCCTTTTTTGAATTCCTGTTGGGGTGGAGAGACACAGTTAGATGTTATCAATATCTGTGCTACAGACGAACATTAAATCATATTCTGTAAGAAACATGAAACCATGTTCTAAGGCAGGCCTACTGAATCAGCATTTTAGGAACAGTCTGCAATTAATTTTATCCAGCCCAACTCTCCTACGCTACATTACAGGTAGTCCTCGACCACAATTGAGCCCAAAATTTCTGCTGCTAAGTGAGGCAATTGTTACGTGAATTTTGCCCCATTTTACGACCTTTTTTGCCACAGTTGGGACGTGAATCACCGCACTTGTTAAGTTAAAAACTCGGTTGTTAAGTAAATCTGGCTTCCCCATTGACTGCTTATCAGAAGGTCGCTAAAGGTGATGACATGAGTCTGGGACACTGCGACCGTCATAACTATGATTCAGTTGCCAAGCATCCGAATTTTAATCACATGACTCTGGGGATGCTGCAATAATTACAAGTGTGAAAAATGGTCATAAGTCACTTTTTCAGTGCCTTGTAACTTCAATCGGTCACTAAATGAATTGTTTTAAATCGAGCAATACTTGTACAGTCAAGCTTTTCCATAGCCTGGTTTGAAAAGGAAGGGAGGGGACATTAAATTACACAGAGGCAGAATCTAAGCTCCCATTCTGTAGTCATGTAGTATTTAAAGGCAAAATGCAATGCCTGAATAAACAGAATTAATGTGGTTAATGTATGAAATAAATTATTGCACCTTCTGGAATATGCAAGAAAACCCCCCCAAAAAATTTCATTCAAGCTTAGAACAGAATAAGCCTACCAAACATGCTCCATAGATGAGTTTTCAAAAGACTGTGGCCTACCAGAATAGAAGTTAAAATATTAGAATAGTTTCCTTTCCCCAAACTAATCAGAGGGAACTATAGAAAAATGATTAAGTATGCTTTTAAACTTTAGGCAGGCAGCCTACAAAAAGTCTGTTAATTTCAGATTAGCTATTGCTTCTATTATTTACTATAAGATTTTTAAAAAGTTTAAATACCTAAAAGAATTCTCAGCCCTTTGAATATTTTATATAAGGCTTTCTAATGGGGGTTTGGAGTTGTGCTGTGCTGTGTTACTGATGTTGGTAGTCAGATACATAGCTATTCATTTTATGCATATTATTTGTAAGCTGTTCAAGTCTTCAGAAGTGAAGTCACCTATAAGCCAAATTAATAAATAAATACATTTCTACTAAAGATAACGGGATGATTAGCAAAACCCTCAGCGTGGGCCACCTCTTGACTTATAAGTAGTCTTCGACTTACAACCATCATTTAATAACCAGTTGAACTTACAACAGCACTGAAAAAAGTGACTTATGTCTGTTTTCCACAGTTGCAACTTTTGCAGCATTCCCATCGTCACTGTGATCAAAATTCAGATGCTTGGCAACTGGTTCATATTTATGACAGTCATAGTGTCGCAGTGATCACGTTTTGTGAGCTTCTGACAAGCAAAGTCAATGGGGAAGTACTTTACAACCTTGTTACTAACTTAACAATTGCAATGATTCACTTAACAATTGTGGCAAGAAAGGTCGTAAAACGGGGAAAAACTCACTTAAGAACTGCCTCGCTTAGCAATAGAAATTTTGGGCTGAATTGTGGCTATAAGTCGAGAACAACTTAACTTTGTGGTCCAGATTGAATGATAGCAGAGGAAGGACTTATTCAAGTACTAGTTGACCTCTGTAGCAAGGAATTCAGAAGAACATGGAACAAAATATTTTGTTTTATCCTGAGCCCATAACAAAACCACACAATTTCGTTTTGAGCTCAGAATGCACACATTTTGAGTCCTACACGTTTTATCCAGCATCAGAATGCTATAAATCTGTAGCATGTGAATAAAATAAAATATCAATTGAACATATTAACCTGAATAGTCTGACTGCAAAGTGGTTATTGGTCCAGCATGGATTGGTAGAACAGATTTTTGTTTGTTTAATTTCCCAGTTTTGTAAAAGAGGGGGGCTTGGTCCTGAGTTATCCAGTGAACTTGTATGGCTCAAGGAGGATAAAAGCCATAGCTTCCTGTGGCTGTGAAAGTTGGACCTTAAAAAATCAAGACAGGAAGTGCTGGAGGAGGCTCCTGCATATTCCTCGGATAGCAAAGGTGAACTAACATGCAAGCACTGGAGCACATAACTCCAGACATGTCACTGGAAGGCAAAATCACAAGTTTGTGTCTCACTTACTTTGGCCATGTCATGTAGGGGACTTCACGAGAGAAAGCAATTATGTTGTGAAAAGTTAGCAGTACAAGGAAAACAGGCCTCCCAAGAACAGGGTGGCTGGACACCAGCCAGAAGAGGGGTAACAAACTGGCGGCCCCCGGGCCGGATGCATCACACACAGGCCACACCCCACCCCAGCTCTGCAAAGGCAAAAAATGTCACGATATGTCACAATACGTCACGTGATACGATCAAGTTTGACACCTGTGAGAACACAGAATAATTCAAAGAAGCAGTGCAAGATTGGAAGATGTGGAGAGACAAGGCCCATAGAACCACCAAGAGTTGGACACGACTGAATGGATAAGGTCATCATCAAAACATGGGTCTTCTTATGCTTGCTCCAGCACCATCCACCCCTAGACCAGGTTAGCTTTCTCTCATACCTACAGGTGGGTCCAGCCTGCTTACCTTAATCGTAGAACGAGGCTTATTGGAATTTTGGGCTCTTCTTGTGCTGTAGGTGCGGGAGGTGCCTTAACAAAAGAGAAAAAAAGATTTTTTTTAATCCATGAAAGCAAAGAGTTAAACAGGCAGTCCTGCCTTTATGATCACAACTGAACCCAAAATTTCCATTGCTAAGCAAGACAGTCGTTAACTGATTTGTGTCCAGTTTTATGACCTTTTTTGCCCAATTGTTAAGTGTATATTGCAGTTGTTAAGTGAATCATGTTAAACAAATCTGGCTTTCCTCATTGTCTTTGCTTGTTGAAAGCCGCCTGGGAAGGTTGAGAATGATGATCATACGACTCTGTCATAAGTACATGCTAGTTTCCAAGTGCCTGAATTCTGATCATGTGACCATGGGGATGCTGCAATGGTAGTAAGTATGAAAAAACAATCATTACCACTGTAACTTTGAACAATCACTAAACAAATAGTCAAGGATTACCTGTAATGATATATTTACTTTCTCAACGAACTAAAGAGACCAAGCTGACCACCTCAAAGGCAGGTTAAGAAATAAATCAGGTGGTCCTCAATTGAGCCCAAATGAAAACTTCCCTGACTTTAATGGTTTTTGCCCAGCGCCTGGTCAATCCATAAAATTAGGAAGAATATTCAGGAACGGATTTTCTTATTGTGTCTTCTCAGCTTATCTGGATTTTGACCCTGATGCCCTATCACAGTGGTTCTCAACCTTTTTAATGCCGCGACCCCCAACCGGTCGTAAGTCGAGGACTACTCAACCGGTCGTAAGTCAAGGACTACTCAACTGGTGCAGCACCGTTTGCAGAATGGGGCTTTTGGCGGGCTCAGCAGGGCAGAGACAGCCTGGACAATTCCTATTGGCTTTTGAAAGCCAATAGAATTAGACTCTATTCAAGAGGATCTATTCTATTGGCTTTCAAAAGCCAATAGAATAAAAGGGAGTAGCACAGCTAAGGAAAAGGGGGGAAAAATGGCGGACTGCGTTGTTTGGCGACCCCCGTGAAATGGTCGTTCGACCCCAAATGGGGTCCCGACCCACAGGTTGAGAACCACTGCCCTATCAGTACACAGGACTTATTTATTTTGTCCTTTCGCTGCAGTGTGTGATTTGATGCGTTCTGGCACTGAAAGAACCTTAAGTTTTTTTTTTTATTAATTTGGTTTTTAACAGATCCTTCGGAAGGCCCACTCAAAGTGAACAGAAAGTAGCAAAGCTGCTCAGAATCTATTAGTGCAGAGCAAAATAATAGTCAAGCTATCACAAAATGCCAGAAAGCTCTGCGTGATCAATGGATATTAGAATCCTAATTATCAATGGAACCTGATAGATGAGACCCATTGAATGGTGTGATGCTAAAAAGGAGGTGAGGAGGAGAGGGGAGGAGTAGCAATTATATACTATGTAATTAGAACTTTCCAGTCTTTTATAAAAATAATTAATTTTTGTTACTGATGTTGTTATTTGGAAAGTTGGTTTCATATCAGATAGTCCTTGACTTACAACCATTTATTTACTGATTGTTAAGTTACAAAGCACTGAAAAAAAAAGATCTATGACCACTTCTCATATTTACGACCATTGCAGCATCCCCATGGTCACGTGATCAAAATTCAGACACAACTTGACTCACATTTATGACGGTTGCAGTGTCCAGGCTCATGTGATCTTCTTTTGCGACCTTCTAATAAGCCAAATCAGTGGGGAAACCAGATTCAATTAACAACCATGTGACTAACTTAACACCTGTGGCAGGAAAAGTCGTAAAATGGGGCAAAACGCACTTACAACTGTCTTGCTTAACAACAGAAATTCTGGGCTCAGTTGTAGTCATAAGTTGAGAACTGCCTTTATATTGCATTATGAATCATTTTGAATCTGGCAGGAGTCTGGAGAAGACAAATTTATTTATTGTATTGCTACTAATAGTTCCTTGATTAATGACCATTCATTTGGTGCCTGATTGAAGTTACGAAAGCACTGAAAAAAAAGGACTTGGGACTGATCTTTGCACTGACATCTTCCCCTTGGTCACATGATGAATTGGGCATTTAGCAATGGGTTGCACATTTACAACTGTCTACAACATTTCATGGTCACACGATCACCATTTGTGATCTTCCCAGGCAGTTTCTAACAAGCACAGTCAATGGGGAAGCTGGCAGGAAGTTGCAAGTCCTGATCACATGATATCTTGCTTAATGATGGTAAATGATTAGTTAATGACCACAATCAGGAATACCATAGCTAAATCGGGTTGATCACGTAGTGTTTTGCTTAATGACCACTTCACTTAGCAATGGAGTTGCTGGTTTCAATTAGGATTGTTAAGCGAGGATTACATGTAGTACTGCTACAAATATTACTACTACTACTATCAAATTTGTTCAATCAAAATCTGCAGGAATGGCCATCTTTAGCAGCTGTGGCAGAAGAATATCACATCTTTTTTTGTTGGAAACTGGAAGTAAATGCTAGTGACTGGCAGAAAAATTGCAAACAATGGTGCTATAAACAGCCATAAAGGTGAGTTAATGGCCAAGTATCCAAAATGCGATAATGTGGCTATGGAGGAGTGTGGCCATCAAAACTTAAAAAATAGGTCATAAACAGCTTTGAGAGGGAGTCTGTCGTAACTTTGAACAGTCGTTAAAAAACCAATTGTAAGCAGGGGTTTATCTGAAACAGTTTCTAAATGGAAACTTGGAATTATTTAGAAGAAATTCATCCAGCAGATTTGAAACCAGTTTCCCCTTTCATATGGGAAGCCATTACGTCAGTGGTCTTCAGCATCTTTAACCATTGAGCCATCATGCCTTAAGGAATTCTGGGAGTTGAAGTCCACAAATCATAAAAAGGCCAAGTTTGAAGACCTCTGCGTTAAGTCATTAAGGCACGATGGCTCAATGGTTAAAGATGCTGAGCTTATCAGCTGACAGCCTGGGTTCAAGACCTGAGTGTCACAAGATGGGATGAGCTCCAAATACTTGTCCTAGTGTCTGCCCACCTAGCAATTTGAAAGCATACAAATGCGAGTAGATAAACAGGTACCACGACAATGAGAAAATTAACAGCGTTCAGTGCACCTCGGCATTTAGCCATGCTGGCCATATGACCACGGACGCGTCTTCAGACAATGCTGGCTCCCTCAGCTAAGAAATGGAGATGACTACTGCATCCTAGAGTTGGACATGACTGGACAGGGAAAACCTTTACCTTTGTCTTTTAAGCTTCCCCATTGGGCCTTACCTGTGCTGCTGAAGGAGCTGCTGCTGGAGTCTGAGAAGCTGGACCGGAGGCAGCAACAGGAGGTTGTGCAGGGACTTGACCTGCAGGCTGAGGTAGTTGAGCAGCAGGCTGGTCTTGGAGGTTGAGCAAAGGGCCGGTTGGCTCAGCTGATGGAAACAGCTGTAATAAAAATACATGAATGAATGAATGAATGAATGAATGAATGAATGAATGAATAATGAATGAGTGGATGGATGGATGGATAAATAAATAAAATACTACAACACAATATAGATAGTCCTCGACTTATGACCACAATTGAGCCCAAAATTTCTGTTGCTAAGCAAAACATTTGTTTAATTTTGCCCCATTTTGCCACCTTTCTTGCCACAGTTATTAAGTGAATCACTGCAGTTGTTAAGTTAATCACATGGTGATTAAGTGAGTCTGGCTTCCCCATTGACTTTGCTTGTCAGAAGGTTGCAAAAGAAGATCACATGATCCCGGGACACTGCAACTGTCATAAATATGAATCAGTTGCCAAATGGCCGAATGTTGATCACATGACCACGGAGATGCTGCAACCGCTGTTAAGTTTGAAAAACAGTCATGTCTCTTTTTTCAATGGTCACTAAATGAACTGTTGAATGGTCACTAAATGAACTGTTGTAAGTCGAGGACTAGCTGCATGGGATACAAATAATGGATCTTCACCAACTACCTGGAAAAAAAAATGTGAATCTGAAGCCCAAATAGCATTTGTACAACCAGCAAAAATGGAGGCATTGTCACAGAATTGCTGAATTTTTGCATATTTGCAACTCTCTGCAATGCGCAAGAAAACCAGTGAAGCATCCTTAAGAGGTGGCTATGCATCAAAGACCCAACTCTTTTGAAAAATCCACCATACTGGAGAGGACAGGAAGGAAGGAAGGAAGGAAAAAAGAGGAAGAAAGGGGGGGGGGGAAGGATGACCAACAGTAAACTAGACAAAGTCAACTAAAGCAGCCATATTGCACCAATGGAAAATCTGAAGCACCAGACTGTGAACAGATCATCTTGGATAAGGTCTATCTATGTGGTCACTAAGAGTCAACCCTAATTGCTAGCACATGACCCAACAATGAATGCAAAGCTGCCTCTTGTTGGATATGTCTACAATGCTGGAAAAGGATGAATGAATGAATGGATGGATGGATGGATGGAGGAGGGAGGGAGGGAGGGAGGGAGGGAGGAAGGAAGGAAGGAAGGAAGGAAGGAAGGAAGGAAGGAAGGAAGGAAGGAAGGAAGGAAGGAAAGAAAGAAGGAGAAAGGTGGATGGACTCATCAGCAATGGAGGCTGGAAAGATCTGAAGAACCAAGTTAGAGACAGATCATGCTGGGGAAGTTCTCCTTATGTGGTTGCTAAACCTTGATACTAACTTGATGGCACATAATCAATTTTGAAAACAATTCAGCTCCAAGTTATTCTATTATAAAATAGATGCATAATACTATAATGCAGGGGTTCCCAACTTTGGCAACGTGTGGACTTCAACTCACACAATTCTCTAGCCAAGAAATCCACACATCTTAAAACCCCTGCTTTAGCGGACATTTCTAATATGATGTACATGATTCACAAGTTACCTCAGAGTTCTGTAAGGATTCTTTCACTCTGGGAGACTAAAAGAGAAAAAAAGAGACTTGTGATTAGTGTACAACGTCATAACTGTTTAGGGCAGAATAGGACAGTGCAGTTTTTATGACAAGTTTCAATTTATCTTGGAGAAATAGAAACATCCTAGGCTACTCAGGGTGTCTTGGAAATCAATTTATGTGAAAGTGTCACTGAGCTGCATGGGGGTTAATATACTGTATTTCGTAAATTGTTATCTGAAGATAGACAAGGCTACTAATAACTCTGATTTATGGATGTTTTTTTTTTTTACTGAAAGTTGGAAATGTGCAGACAATATGTAAAGACATTCAAATTTAGTAGCTGGAGCAGTGGGATTGTGCAGTGAGCCAGAACTCACAGTTAGAGATGATTGACTGGAGAGGGCGGGCTCCTGCGTGAAGCAATCTGCGCTATGATTGGTCGCTGTGGGTGTGGAGGGAGTTTTCCTTTTTTCCCTCCTTTTTTTTTCTGTATGATCTGTGATTTACCTTATGATGCTCCAGTTTGCCTGACTATCTTATTTGCTGCATATACAGATGCAAAATATATTTATATAAAACTACAAGTTCATGTCAGGGTTTCTGACTCTATTTGGACACTTTCTGCGCAATTCCCTGACAAATATAACAACACACAACTGCAATGTGCTTTTTGCTTCTATTTTTTTTTTTTAGATGATCTGAAAAGTAAACATTGGATAATTTTGCAATGGTCACAGTAGCATATTTTGACCTAGGAAAAATTTCTATTTGGGATATTTCCCAAAAATGGACTTGCAACTGCTCTTTGGAAAGGGGGACGTTTACCGCCAAGCTTCAGACCCTCAATAATATCCATCATCTCAATGATTCTTACAAAGCTTTACAGCTCTGAACAAAAGGAAATTCCTTGCCATGCTTTCAAAAGTCTTGCAATGCAGGTAGTCCTCAAGTTATGATCAAGCTTGCCCATTAGGGTTATAAGTCATGATTGCTGTAAATCAGATCACCCATGTGACCAATCCAATTTTATGACCTTATTTGAGGTGGTCATTTGCAATCTTTAAGCAAACCTATAGTTCACTCAAACTGTCATAAACACGGTCGCATGACCGTGGGTTTGTTGCTGAGTTCTCAAAGTGTGTCATGAATCCATGGAAAGAGGGGGGGGGGGTGACCATCATAACTTTAAATCTGGATTGCAATTAGCTTTGGGGGGGGGGGATCCATCGTAACTTTGAAAGTCACTAAGTGACCGGTCACAAATCAAGGACTACCTGTATTATAGGCAGGTATGATTATATCTTAAAATAAAAGAATTGAGATGTTTGCCTGAAGCTCACAATCAGGTTCATAAGGGAAGCAAGATGTCAAGTAGACTTAGCGATATAGGCATAGCATGGTCAAAAAACTCAAGATGGCAGCCACAATAACGCTGTTAAGGGCCTGCTCATTTTTTTATGTTCCATGGACATAAACAATGGACCTCCATGGCACTGATGTGGTCATCATCTTGACTTTTTTGGACCTCATCCTGTGGATGCCAACACATGGAATCTATTTGGGGGGTAATGCGGTATCTCAGTCACGCTTTTACTAAATTTCGATTTCATTTGGTGAAGTCCTGAGCAGAACATAGAAAGTCATCAGACACCCTTACAAAGGAATATCCTCGTGTGGGCAAAACCATTTAAAATCCATTATTTCTTCCTGAGGCAAGAAGAGACTCAAAGTGCTGAGTTCTGACAGCTTTATATACAGGAAATAAAGGAGGGAACTGGAAAGAAGGAGATAAACTAGCTTACTAATTGCTTTCAATAATTAATAATTTTAATAATTAATTATGAGAGTTTGCAGGATAAGCATGCCATGTCTATGAATACTAAATAGAAATCACTGTTTGAAAAAAAAAAGAAAAGAGGAAGCTGCCTTTAGAAGATTTCAGGGTTTGTTTTACCGGATTAGAAAATAATATTGTGGTCAGAAGGACATCTGCTGAGGAGAAAGAAATCCCAAAGCATATCGCGTGAGAAACAAATTGTGTATGTTATATGCATAGTATCCTGATAACCAGCCTACAGCAAAGATTGGACATTGTTAATTCTCTGATTTCTCAAAACAACTCTCATTTTGGTTCTAGACTGCATCAATTAGGGAAGGTTGGCACAGTGGATTCACAAAGAATCTTTAGAAGCATAGAAAATTTTTCCATACATCTCCATAAAAAATGAAGAATGGCCAGTATTTTCTACTGGCAAAAATATTAGACGCAAATGTTTATTTATTTAGCATATGGCATCTAGAGAGATCATGCAATCACTCACTGATATACAACACTAATGAAACGCATTATGCATACAAACTCAAATATAAATTTATAATAGGGAGACATTACAATGCATGAGATAAAATATTAAAGAAATATTAAAACGGAATACTAAATGTAATATTAAAATATTATAGCAATTAGACTCAGTTGTTGAAAAGGACAGATAACTGAGAAGATGAAATCTATAAATCATGTTAATTGGCATAAGTCCTGCCTACAGTTTCCAACTGTTCCTATTGCCTGAAAGATATGCATTAGATCAGGAAGAGAATAATACAAAGCGTTAATAAAGGAGAATATGTGTAGCTCAGGGCTGAAATGAGGGATGCTCTCTGAGCTTGGCTGTTTTCTTGCAGACGTTTCATTATCCAACTAGGTAACATCATCAATGCTAGTAAGGAATAGGGTATGGCAGTGGTTCTCAACCTGTGGGCCGGGACCCCATTTGTGGTCGAATGACCATTTCACGGGGTTCGCCAAACAATGCAGTCTGCCATTTTTCCCCCCTTTTCCTTAGCTGCGCTACTCCCTTTTATTCTATTGGCTTTTGAAAGCCAATAGAATAGACTCTCTTGAATAGGAGTCTAATTCTATTGGCTTTCCAAAGCCAATAGGAATTGTCCAGGCTGTCTCTGCCCTGCTGAGCCCGCCAAAAGTCCCATTCTGCAAACGGTGCTGCACCAGTTGAGTAGTCCTCGACTTACGACTGGTTGAGTAGTCCTCGACTTACGACCGGTTGGGGGTCGCAGCATTAAAAAGGTTGAGAACCACTGGGGTATGCATTTTTAGTACTGATGATGTTACCTAGTTGCGTAATGAAATGTCTGCAAGAAAACAGCCACGCTCAGAGAACACCGAGGACCCCTCCTACAAGACACAAATTCAATGAGGAACTGTACTTTGAATATTTCAAAAAGTGAAATTGACTCCCACCCTGTGCTGTGAAATTGCCGCTTTGCCCTCTTCGCTTTCTTCGTCTAGTTCATCATCGCTCCATTCCCAGCCGCCATCTTCAGTCTTGTGAAGTCGTCCGCTGGAACCAGGGACTCTCCTGACCTGCACGCCAAGAAGAGCAAGACTCAAATGTGTAACAATGCAGTTCTGCTCAGGGTTGTGCAGGTAGCTCTCGAGTCATGGCCATAATTGCGAACAATTGTTAACAAGCACTGCAATTGTTCATTGAGTCACACCTGACTATGACCTTTTTGGCGTGGTGGACGGTTGTTAAGTAAATCACATTGAGTGACTCCAGCTTCCTCCATTGATTTTGTTTATTGGAAGCTCCCTGGAAAGGTTGAAGATGATGATCTGAGATGCTGGATTGTAAATACAAGCAGTCCTCAACTTACAACAGTTCGTTTAGTGACCGTTCAAAGTTACAACAGCACTGAAAAATCACAATGGCATTGACTTATGACCACTTTTCACACTTAACGATCATTGCAGCATCCCCATGATCATGTGGTCAAAATTCAGATGCTTGGCAACTGGTTCATATTTATGACGGTCGCAGAAGGTCCCCTTTTGCGACCTTCTGACAAGCAAAGTCAGCGAGGAAGCCAGATTCACTTAACAACCATGTTGCTAACTTCACAACTGTAGTGATTCACTTAACAACTGCGGCAAGAAATGTCGCAAAATGGGGCAAAATTCACTTAGCAACTGTCTCATTTAGCAACATAAACTTTAGGCTCAATTGTGTTCGCAAGTTGAGGACTGCTTGTATTTGCTGGTTGCCAAATGCCCAAATTTTGATCATATGACTGTGGAGACATTATAGCAATTGCAAGGGCGAGGACCCCAGCATCATTGTCATTTCAAACAGTTGTAAGTCAAGGACTGCCTGTACACTCTCATTGCATCTCCTTTAAAGTTTTGATAAAGCCAAAATAAGGTGCACTTCCTACAAATTTTGCTATCTTGTGTAGAAACAACAAATAAAAACGCTGCATCTGACAAAACTATCCATTCAGAAATCAATGTGGCTATAAAAGCATTGCTATATAATTTTTTTATGCTTCCTATCCAACTAAGCAGGACAAAAGGGGAAACAGAATGGCACTGAGAAAACCATCAATATAGCCACAGCCTATATTTAAAACTAATTTATATACAGCTTGAATATTTTAGTCTTTGCAATAAACGATGTACTTATATATCCATAGAAGGACAATTTTTCATCCAACTTCCCAGCAAATTAAGCCAAACAATAAAACAAGCAAAGGGACACTGATTAATTTATGAAACTGTTTAACTATTGTTCCCATACAGTAAATTGGGGAAAAATATGTAAATGGAAGAAAAACAAAATGTTTTTAAAGAAAATACCAAGAAAGTCCAGTTGCCTTTTGAAAAAAAAAAAAACAATTTTGGAAGAATACTGAATAGTTGCAGTTCACCTAACAAGTTAACAACCGAAGCCAATGTTTTAGTTTTTAACTCATCTGTCTCGCTTGTTATCACAGACACACACCTGCCATTTCAGCTTGGATGTAACTATATCCCTACCAAGGATGCTGACTAATTGCTTTTAAAGCAGGAGGAACTAAATTTCTTTAAGATGTGTGAACTCGGCCAGAATTATCTTCCCCGTTTCTCAGGATGCAGGCAAGATGTACACCAGTGGTTCTCAACCTGTGGGTCGGGACCCCATTTGGGGTCGAACGACCATTTCACGGGGGTCATCAAACAATGCAGTCCGCCATTTTTTCCCCCTTTTCCTTAGCTGTGCTACTCCCTTTTATTCCATTGGCTTTTGAAAGCCAATAGAATAGACTCTCTTGAATAGAGTCTAATTCTATTGGCTTTCAAAAGCCAATAGGAATTGTCCAGGCTGTCTCTGCCCTGCTGAGCTTGCCATAAGTCCCATTCTGCAAACGGTGCTGCACTAGTTGAGTAGTCCTCGACTTACGACTAGTTGGGGGGTCACGGCATTAAAAAGGTTGAGAACCACTGCTGTACATTATGAGAAGCTGCAAGAAATTTTATAGAACCATTTTATGCGGATTTCCACTTTACTTTGTACCTTCCTGGCTCTTTCAGTGATAGTTGGGGCTCTCTGCAACATTTTTTCTTGTAAAAATTCTTTATTCTGCAAAAGAAAAAGGAATGGAACCATCAGTTCTTACAATTACGCTCTTCAAAAGCTACTGTTCATTGTTATTTAGTGAATTGATCAGCCACCCAACTCTACTGCACTCAAACTGCATATTCCCCCTACAGCTTTTTGCAAAGGAGAGAGACAGAAAAATGTTTTAGTTATATGACACTAAATAAAAATGCCTTTGACACAAGAGCTAAGAAGGCAATGTATTAAAGAATAACATAATCTCCAGGTGAGTAGTGACATGTTCTGTCACTGGGCAGATGCAAAGACATGCAATTTTATTTTCTTTTTCCACTAGAGACCATAGTAAAAACTAAAGATGCACAAAACGGAACCATAAAGCAGTTGTATTTGGAGTAATTAAACAAACTGTTAATCTGGCTCAAAAATAACCAGGGTGAACTCAAGGGAATCAAGGAACATGAACCCCTTCACACTTAAAGGATTACCATTTTTGTGGGTGGCAAAATCAGAACAGATCTTAAATGAGAAGCAAACGTGTCATTGGGTGGATGGAAGTTGGGGAAAACCTCTGATAAATTATTAAAATTTGTATGTCGCCCATCTCACTATCAAGTGGCTATGGGCAGCTTACAGCAATGTTTTAAAAAAATTATTAAGATTATTCCTTGTCTATAAATAAATTTCTCCAACATCCAAGTTGGTAGATGACTCCATCAGTCAAGGATCCTACCTTTGCTTTTTGGAAAAATTTGTGTCTTAGGAGTTCAGCTGCTGTAGGTCTATGGACAGAAAAAAAAGAGTTTCTTAAACCTATAGTATGTTGCAGGAATTTTAAAAGAACCTTTTCTATTTCATATAGGAGAGTCACCCACAATAAGAGCACAAATCAGGACAGATGTTGCTTTCCACAGTTTGTACATTTCAATTCACAGATTAGAGAAAAAGAAACAAGTGAGGTATTAATTCTGAATAAAAATGGTGGGTTTTGGCAAAGTGAGGCCATGAGCAAGCCTGTGTGATCACGCACAATAATGAGATAAGCATTTCCTGCATAATATATACATTCTTATTTTATGTATTTGCACAGAATTTTACTTGAAGCAGATGTAAATATTTCAAAGTATTTAAAATATGATGGATTTTGTTATTAGAACAATGCTTTAGATTGTTTTATTCTGCTTGATCACATGGCCCAGACTGATTTCACAAAGTATCTTTCTTTACTTCTCAACATCAGTTCTCAGAAAGCCTGAACCAGAGACAAACAAACATTGAAAACTAACATACGCTAAAATATCAGTAAGGCAGTTATCAGGGGAGGTGAAACAATATCCTGTGGCAAGAAGTTCCAAATGCCAATCATAATCTATTTGTTTGTCTTATAGAGTGCTTTTCCACTCTATAATCCTCTGGAGTTCTTTGCTTGTGGCATCTAATTTTTCCTTTTTGAACTTCTCTATTGGTAGTCCTTGATTTATAATCACAATTAAGTCCCCAATTTCTGTTGCTAAGAGAGAAATTTGTTAAATGAGTTTTGCCCCATTTTATGACCTTTTTTCGCCACACTTGTGAAGTGAATCACAGCATGGTTAATAAATAACATGGTTATTAAGTGAATCTGGCTTCTCTATTGACTTTGACTGTCAGAAGGTATCAAAAAATGATCACATGACCCTGGCACAGTGCAGCCACCATAAATACGAGTCGGTTGTCAAATGTATGAATTTTGATCACACGACCCTGGGGATGCTGCAACGGTCGTAAGTGTGAAAAACAGTCACAAGTCACACTTTTCAGTGCCATTGTAACTTTGAACGGTCACTAAATGAACTGCTGTGAGGACTACCTGTATTTAGATGATTGTGCTTAAATGTGCTGTGTAGTAGAAATGATGATTTGGAGGTTAGCTATAGTAATTTTCTTACTCCAGAAAAACAGGAAGGAGAGGGGGAAAAAAACCTCAAAATTCTCCCTCCTGAATCTTTTTGGGATAAGAGAAGGGAACAGGAGAATGCTATCAAGTTTCAATATTTTGATCTCTGTGTTTAGACATTTCCCTGCAGACATTTCATTACCCAACTAGGAAACATTATCAGTCCGCAATTCGACCTTAGTTTAACCCTGAACTACAAATATTCTCTTCTATTGATGTCAATATATCTGCTATTATAGCCTAATCTATTTCCCAATCTCGGCCACTTGAAGCTGTGCAAATGTCAAATATACAAATTCAACCTCTTAGATCATTGGACCACAGAACTGTATGCAATAAAAACGGTATTGAACTGGTTGCAGATAGAAAATCCCATTGCACAAAGCCACAGAAATTCTGCAATAGCTTTTAAACACAGTGTGCATTATAAGATGACATTATCATTTCAACTGCATACAGCACAGCCTAATGAATAACAGAGTTGGAAGGGACCTTGGAGGTCATCTAGTCCAACTCTCTGCTCAAGCAGGAAACCCCATCCCATTTAAGACAAAAGCGTTGTCCAATCTCTTCTAAAAACCTCTAGTGATGAAACACCCACAACTTCTGCAGACAAATCATTCCACCGATTAATTGTGCTGTCAGGAAATTGCTCCTTAATTCTAGGTCGCTTCTTGTCCTGCCTTCAGATGCTTTGGAGAAGAGGTTGACTCCCTCTTCTTTGTGGCAGCCTCTCAAATATTGGAAGACTGTTCTCATGTTATCCCAGTCCCTCTTTTCATTAAACTACACATACCCAATTCATGCAACTGTTCTTCATAGGTTTTAGCCTCCAGTGCCCTGATCATCTTTGTTGCTCTTCTCTGCAATCTTTCTAGAGTCTCAACTTCTTTTTTAAATTGTGGCAATCAAAACTGTATAAGGTATCAAACTTCCAGCTCTACCTTCATTTCCCTATTTCCCTATTGGGGCTGTCTAGAAGGAGAATCCAAGGGCAATGGGTTCCTTCCCTGGGTTTGCAGTCAGAATACTAGGTCCAATGTGGGAATTTGCAGACCACAGACACTGACTGCCTGTCTTGGGATAGTAATAGTAATAGTAGTAAAGTTGGAAGGGACCTTGGAAGTCATCTAGTCCAACCCCCTGCTCAGGCAGGAAACCCTACATCATTTCGGACAAATGGCTGTCCAGTCTCTTCTTAAAAACTTCCAGTGTTGGAACATTTACTGCTTCTGGAGGCAGGTTGTTCCACTGGTTAATTGTTCTAACTATCAGGAAGTTTCTCCTTAGTTCTAGGTTGCTTCTCTCCTTGATGAGTTTCCACCCATTGCTTCTTGTCCTGCCCTCAGGGGCTTTGGGGTAGCCCCTGAGATACTGGAATACTGCTATCATGTCCCCCCTTGTCCTTCTCTCTGTTAAATTAGACATACCCAATTCTAGCAACCGTTCCTTATATGTTTTAGCCTCCAGTCCCCTAATCATCTTTGTTGCTCTTCTCTGTACTCTTTCTAGATAAATTTCTTTAGATCAGGGCTTTTCAACCTTTTCACCCATTGTACCACTTTTAGGATATGGCAATATTTGAGTACCACCAGTCGCCTAGCAAGGTGTCAAAAACTTGATGACCAAAAAAAAAATAAAAAAAAAAAAATGAGGTAGTCCTCGACTTACAACAGTTTGCTTAGTGACTGTTTGAAGTTACAATGGCACTGAAAAAAGTGCCCCCCAAGCCACAGCCGAGCAAGACACCTGCCTGCCCACCCAGTGGCGCTCTTCTTCCTGTCCGAGCTTTTCATTGTTGTGAGTATTTCTGTTGAGGATTGGCAGCGGGGATGGGGGTGGGTATTTGGTTTTTATTCCACCCATCTGCTGGGTGGTTGCAGCAGATTTTGGTCAGTTCACATGATCCTAGGACACTGTTACCATCATAAATATGAATCAGTTGCCAAGCATCTGAATGTAAATCACAAGACCCTGGAGATGCTGCAACATTCCAGCTGATCGGCGCTTCTTCTGGGCTCACAAGAAGCACCAGGATCAGTGCTGAGCTCCAGCTAGAGCCTGGTGCTGATCCTGGCGCTTCCACTGAGCCCTGACAGCCCCGAAGAAGCACTGATCCTGGTGCTTCCGCTGAGCCCTGACAGCCCTGCAGCTCCAGCCGTCTCTCGCTCAGGCTTGTGTGGTGCTGCCACCGGTTCAGCTCATTCCCCTCCCCCACTACCACTTTTCTAGGATGGTCGCGTACCACCTGTCAGGTGCCAATGTACCACAGGTGGTACCCGTACCACTGGTTGAAAAGCCCTGTCTTAGATATTCTGCTCACAAGCAGGAGCTCTTTTAAAGAAGTCCTCATTTTTCAAGATCCTTTTGCCAGCTATACTGTCCTCTAGGCTGCTCATAAATTATAGGTAGTCCTCAACTTATGATCACAATGAGCCCAACATTATGTTGCTAATGAGAAATTTGTTAAGTGAGTTTTGCCCCATTTCATGACTTTTCTTGTCACAGTTGTTAAGTAAACCACTGCAGTTGTTAAGTCAGTAACATGGTTGTTAAGTGAATCTGGCTTCCCCATCGACTGCTTGTCAGAAGGTTGCAAAAAGGGATCACATGACTTCTGGGACACTGTAACCGTCATACATGTGAACCAGTAGCCAAGCATCCGAATATAAATCACATGACCCCAAGGAAGCTGCAACGGTCATAAGTGTGAAAAACGGTCATAAGTCACTTTTTTCAGTGCAGTTGTAACTTCAAATGGTCACCAAATGAACTGTTGTAAGCCGAGGACTACATATATAAAAAATACATGTTGGACTCAAAGTCTAGTTTCTTGCTGCTTATAGGAAAGGACCTATTTTGCCAGGTCTTTTCAATCAATTTTAACAGGGCATGTTAGCTGTTCCTATCAGATTTTAAACTTGTCCATGTATGTTCACGTGTGGCAACTTGTGTGCATTTATATGCATCTATGGGCAGAGAAGGGAGGTGTAAGTCATATAAATAAATTTTAAAAAGAGAGGGAGAGAGAAGGGAGAAGTTGAGATGGTCCTGCCTTGTACCTTTTTTCTGGGTCTTTCTGCAGGCACAATGAAATCATTTTCCTGAATGACTTCCCGTATTTTTTAAGCATCTCCTTATCTTGCACTCCTGTCTCCAAGGAGGGGGGGTCATTTTGTAGTGTCAACATTAAGACCTGAAAAAATGGCATCCGTTAGAAACACTGAGGAATGTTTTGAATTGGCCAACAAGAAAAATCACTGTGAAAACACCCACTTTTGAGATCTAGCTCTTCCTTGGCCTAAAGCAGTGGTTCTCAACCTTTTTAATGCCACGACCCCCAACCAGTCATAAGTCGAGGACTACTCAACCGGTCGTAAGTCGAGGACTACTCAACTGGTGCAGCACCGTTTGCAGAATGGGACTTTGGGTGGGCTCAGCAGGGCAGAGACAGCCTGGACAATTCCTATTGGCTTTTGAAAGCCAATAGAATTAGACTCTATTCAAGAGAGTCTATTCTATTCGCTTTCGAAAGCCAATAGAATAAAAGGGAGTAGCACAGCTAAGGAAAAGGGGGGGGGGAATGGTGGACTGCGTTGTTTGGCGACCCCCGTGAAACGGTCGTTCGACCCCAAATGGGGTCCCGACCCACAGGTTGAGAACCGCTGGCCTAAAGTCCTACAGCACTGGTCCCCAACTTTTGTGGCTTAGCATCCTGGCTGGGGTGGGGGAGAGAGGAATTGGGCTGTGGGAGTGGAAGATCGACCCACATGCTGATCCACTCACACAAGAGAAGCCTTTGGGGTCATGGCTGCTTCAGGCTTTTCCACGTCAAAACCTCTTGCAAAGGGACAGGAAGAAGCGAGAGATCGCTCACCCAAAGCCTTTCGTCCGTTCACAAAGGCTTTTGGCGCAGAGAAAAGAAACCTTTGTGGGTGCGGTCTCATGTTCCTTCAGTCTCACCCAGGCTGCCCGATGCCCCCAAAACGTATCAGGGATCCTGTGCAGGCAGCCTTAGTAAGTCAGTGAAGCTGAGCAGGGCACATTGGTCCCACTCAGCCGCTGCTCTCACAGCTCCGCTTCTGGATCATCGGGAGCAGGCAGCTTGGTGGCCCTGCTGGGGGAGAGGGGAAACCGGGCCACGTGAGTGGCGGGCCAGTGTACACACATGTACAGTTCCACTCGTGCAGGAGTTGTGGACCCTTGTCCTACAGCATTTGATAGACAATTGCCAGTTCTTTGCAAGCAACAACTGTTGCTTGTGAAGGGAATAGATCTCATGGGCTCAAAGAGGCAAATTGGCTTCCCTGCATCCCAAGGGTTGTGTTGTTCCCATATCAGAAAGTCCACAATGGAGGACAAAATGCCACACGGGTAATCCTCAACTCATGACCACAACTGAGCCCAAAATTTCCATTGCTAAGCAAAGCAGTTGTTAAATGAGTTTCGCCCATGGATTTTACATCCTTTTTTGCCATAGTTGTTAAGCGAATCACTGCAGTTGTTCAATGAATCACGTGGTTGTTAAGCAAATTGACTTTGCCATTGACTTTGTCGGAAGCCGGCTGGGGAGGTCACAGATGATGATCACATGACCCCGGGGCAGTGCAACTGTCATGAATACATGCCAGTTGCCAAGTGCCCAAATTTTGATCACATGATCGTTGCTGCAATAATCGTGTGAAAATCGGTCATAAGTCATTTTTTTCTGTGCCATTCTAACTTTGAACGGTCAGTAAACAAATGGGCGTAAGTCAAGGACTATCTGTATTCTCCCAAGGATCTAGTTCTGCAATATATTCAGGTGTGCTATGACTGCTGCTCTGTAAATCAATGAGAAGGTGGATGAAAGAGGTCTTCCCTGTCCTCGCATCTCATTTCTGAGACGCTGAAGAATTAAGCTTAGGAGAACTAGATCCTAAGGCCACAGGGCAGCCCCTTCCTCTCAGCACAGGGACCAATGTGGTGCAATGGGCAAGGTGCTTGGTTAGAAGCCAGGAGACGGTGAGTTCTAGTCCTGCCGTAAACATGAAACCATCTGGGTGACTTTGGACCAGCTCCTCTCTCTCTCTCTCTCTCTCTCTCTCTCCCTCTCTCTCCCTCCCTCTCCCTCTCTCTTCTCTCTCTCTCTCCCTCGCTCTCTCTCCCTCTCCCCCCTCCCTCCCTCTCTCCCTTTTCTCTTCCTCCCTCCTTCTCCCTTCCTCTCTTCTCTCTCTCCCCTCCCCCTCTCCCTCCCTCTTCCTCTTCCTCTCTTCTCTCTCCCTCACTCCCTCTCCCTCCTTTCTCTCCCTCTTCTCTCTCCCTCCCTCTCCCTCCTCTTTTCTTTCTCTCTTCTCTCTCCCTCCCTCCCTCTCCCTCCCTCTCTCCCTCTCCCCCTCCCTCCCTCTCTCCCTTTTCTCTCTCTTTCTCCCTCCCTCTCCTCCCTCTCCCCCTCCCTCTCTCTCCTTCTTTCTCCCTCTCCCTCTCCCCCCCTCTGTCATAAGAAGGAGAAGGCAAGCCCCCCCCCCTCAACCCAGCCTTTATTATAAACAACTCAAGGTGGAAAACATATCTAATACTCCTTCCTCCTCCTATTTTCCCCACAGCACCAACTCTGTGAGGCACTTTGGGCTGAGAGATGGAGACTGCCAGAGTCACCCACTGGCTTTCGTGCCTAAAGTGAGACTAGAACTCACCATCTCATGTTCTCTAACCTGGCACCTTAGCCACTAGATAGACCAAACAGTCCATATAAATGTCAAGATCCAGGACTAACTCAGGTACAAAAAAGGGACAGCAGGCCTTTCCCACTTTTTTACCTCTCCATTGTATGAACCCAGATATACATATCTTATACCAGAGGCAACTGACATAATTCTGAGCACAGTACAGCCAATGAAGGACACCAAGTTATTTTTTTATACTGTTTTTTTGAGTAGTACCAGTTATGGTACGCTGAATGATTTGTCTGTCCTAAAGCCCCAATGAATGTTAATGAATCTCTTTATAATATATCAGGGGATTCCAGATACATATGGAAGAGGCTATGCGTTGGGAGGTGTTTGAGAACAGAGTTCAGGAGAAAGAGACGGATTATTAAATGTTTTAAAATTACAAAATCAAGAAGCAAGGATGGGGAAGGTCAAATGTATGCAGCACGTCAACAGATAAAGCACTCCAAAAGGTTGACTCAGCCTTCCATCCTTCCGGGGTAGGTAAAATGAGGACCCAGATTGTTGGGGGCAATGTATATACATTGCTTACTGGTGTACACCGCTTAGAGAGTGCTTGCACTTAAAGCGGTATATAAGTCTCATAAATAAATAAATAAATAAATAACGCTCAGCAACACTTTCTTTAAAGCAGTGGTCCCCAATTTTACCAGCTCTGCGGACCGGTGGCGGTAAGGGGGAGGGGTGGCGGAGAGGATAGTTCTACACAAGCACAGGTCCATTTACACAAGCACAGGCACACTGCTCACACAAATGGAGCTTCACACATGCAAACGCTTGCCCACTGCTGATGCAAGTGGAGCTGTACACGCGCACACTCGCAACCCGGGCCTGGACCACAGCCCAGAGGTTGGGGACTCCTGTTTTAAAGGGAAAACCTATTCAACATGATATTGAGGGACCTCTTAACTAATTTCTCAGAAACACGCTGGAATACAAATCGAGAATTAATGATTTATTATATGGGTGTGATAGTTCTGCATTCTATCTCCAGGATTTTGTCTTTTGTTACAAGCTTCTTTCTTAAACATCCAAACAATCTCCAGACTTCCTTGCATGTTATCAAAGGGAAGACAGGCCAACTTTTCAGTTACATCAGAAATAACGTTTCCTAGGCGGGTCAATCCAATTTTTCAGACTGTATGCAGGCACTTCGTGTCAAATTGGTTATCTGAACTGGTAAATCTGTAACTTACCTTCATGGGTGGGTATTTGTGATAAGGAGCAGCTCCGGTAGCCAACTCGATTGCTGTAATTCCAAAACTCCAAATATCTGCTTTGAAATCATACCCCCGCACCTGCATTGTAAGAAAAGTTTGTTTCAAAAACGGGCTTTTCTATCATAGGAGCTGTTCCAATTCCATGCCTTATCTTGCCTGAATCATGCTTGGGAGCTAACCTTCCTTCACCTATCCCTTCCAGGCATTTATTTATGATCTGGCACCTAAAACAGACTTCTAATTTCTCACCCAACTCCTGGGAAATAGCACAATTTGTATTCTTCTTCACATGAGTAAAGATATTACAAGGACTTTACTAAACAAGACAGTTGTTAAGTGAATTTTGCCTGATTTACCACCCTTTTTTGTCACCGTTATTAAATGAATCACCGTAGTCGTTAAGTTAGTAAGATGGTCGTGAAGTGAATCTGGCTTCCCCATTGACTTTGCTTGTCAGAAGGTCGCAAAAGGGGATCACATGACCCCGGGACACCGCAACCGTCATAAACATGAGTCAGTTGCCAAGCATCTGAATTTTGATCACAGGACTGTGGGGATGCTGTAATGGTCGTAGGGGTGAAAAATGATCAGTGTCATTTTTCAGTGCCATTGTAACTTCGAACGGTCACTAAATGAACTGTTGTAAGAAGAGGACTACCTGTACATACAGAAAACATCCAGTTGAGAAAGTTGGAGCACAAACTTTCTATAGCTAGTTCTTAGCTTAAGACCATGATGGTTAGAAAATGGGTCGACTTTACAACCTGTTTTGTAGTAGCCACTAAGAAAATCACCATGGTTGTTAAATGCATCTGTGGTTGTTAAGCAAACTTTTTGTTTGCTGTGGGATGTTTTGGCCGAAAATTGGAAATGCCAGGTTTCAACAAAAATGCCACAAACCATAGTCACATGACAGCAGAATGCTGCAAACAGCATAAATGTGGGCCAGTTGCTGAGCACCCCAAATGCAATCATAAAACTGGGGGGGAGGTGTGATGGACTTCTGAATTGGGTCATAAGTGGGTGGAAGTCCAAGCGTAACTTTGAATGGTCACCAAGCAACCAGTCATAAGTTGAGGACTGCCTGTACTGCCATCTCCTCCTGGAAGAAATGAGAAAAGATAATTCATTTTTGAAATCAGAATCCATTCAATGTTTCTTGGCTTAGTGCAATCTGGTTTTTAGCAAGATTGTGCTCTTCATCCTGAATGTAAAGAGCAGTTTTGTTCAGCTCAAGATGCATCCTTCTCCATCAGAACTCCTTTCTTACTTTGGACTACAAGTAGTCCTCAACTTACAGCAGTTTGTTTAGTGACCATTCAAGTGGCACTGAAAAAAGTGATCGAGGGCCAATTTTCACATTACAGCCTCCCCATGGTCACTCACGCCATCAAAATTCAGACCCTGCCCAACTGACCCATATTTATGGCAGATCCAGTGTCCTGGGGTCATGTGATTCCCCTTTATTTTTTCTGCAACCATCTGACAAGCAAAATCAACAGGAAACCCAGATTTATTTACTAACTCAACAACTTGCAGTGGTTCACTTAATAACTCTGGCGAGAAAGGTCATAAAATCGGGCAAAATTCACTTAACACAGTGGTTCTCAACCTGTGGGTTGGGACCCCATTTGGGGTCGAACGACCATTTCACGGGGGTCGTCAAACAACGCAGTCTGCCATTTGCCCCCTTTTCCTTATCCTTTTCCTTAGTAATAGTAGTAAAGTTGGAAGGGACCTTGGAGGTCATCTAGTCCAACCCCCTGCTCGGGCAGGAAACCCTACACCATTTTGGACAAATGGCTGTCCAGTCTCTTCTTAAAAACTTCCAGTGTTGGAGCATTTACTGCTTCTGGAGGCAAGCTGTTCCACTGATTAATTGTTCTCACTGTCAGGAAGTTTCTCCTTAGTTCTAGGTTGCTTCTCTCCTTGATTAGTTTCCACCCGTTGCTTCTTGTCCTGCCTTCAGGTGCTTTGGAAAATAGCTTAATTCCCTCTTCTTTATGGCAGCCCCTGAGATATTGGAATACTGCTATCATGTCCCCCCTTGTCCTTCTCTTCGTTAAACTAGACATACCCAATTCTAGCAACCGTTCCTTATATGTTTTAGCCTCCAGTCCCCTAATCATCTTTGTTGCTCTTCTCTGTACTCTTTCTAGAGTCTCAACATCTTTTTTACATCGTGGTGACCAAAACTGGATGCAGTATTCCAAGTGTGGCCTTACCAAGGCATTGAAGAGTGGTATTAATACTTCACGTGATCTTGATTCTATCCCTCTGTTAATGCAGCCTAGCACTGTGTTGGCCTTTTTGGCAGCTGCAGCACACTGCTGGCTCATATTTAAGTGATTGTCTACTAGGACTCCGAGGTCCCTCTCACAGTTACTACTATTGAGCATGGTGCCACCTATGCTGTACTTGTGCATTTGGTTTTTCTTGCCTAAATGTAGAACCTTGCTTTTTTCACCATTGAATTTCATTTTGTTAGTTAGTGCCCAGTGTTCAAGTCTGTCCAGATCCTTCTGTATCTGAAGCCTGTCTTCTGGAGTGTTGGCTATTCCTGCCAGCTTGGTGTCATCTGCAAATTTGATGAGTTCCCCATCTATCCCTTCATCCAAATCGTTGATGAAGATGTTGTCTAATTCTATTGGCTTTCAAAAGCCAATAGGAATTGTCCAGGTTGTCTCTGCCCTGCTGAGCCCGCCAAAAGTCCCATTCTGCAAAAGGTGCTGCACCCGTTGAGTAGTCCTCGACTTACAACTGGTTGAGTGGTCCTCGACTTACGACCGGTTGGGGGTCGCGGCATTAAAAAGGTTGAGAACCACTGACTTAACAGCTATCTAATTTAGCAACAGAAATTTTGTGCTCAATTGTGGTTGTAAGTTGAGGACTAATTGTATAGTATTCTGAATTCTCATTTGAGTGGGGGTCTTTATGCCTGCATTTTAAACTTGCCTTTGTCTGTTCGCATACCAACTGCTCCCTCTTGTGTCCACAGGCATTTACATCGACTGAAGCAAAACTTTGTTAACTGGGAAAAATGTGACATGCATGGAGGTCACCCAGTTAATGGCTAAACAATGGCCTTCTTCTCAGGCAGTTTCACAATCTCAATCCCACCCCTGCCCTGGCCTTTACAAAGGTCAATAAGTTATTGTTTCAGCCATCTCTGGAAGATTGGGAAGAAATAGTCCTAGAACAATGTAAAAGAATTCTTTCAAAGGAAACTTATTCTCAATAAAGTAAAAATTGTTTCTTAAAGAGATAAATGTTCTGTAGAGTTTTACAGGGAGTCCTCAATTTAGAATCATTCATTTAGTGACCATTCAAAGTTACAACAGCTCTGAAAAAAATGACTTATGACCGTTTTCACACTTACAAACGTTGCGGCATCTCTGTGGTCATGGGATCAAAATTAGAACGCTTGGCAACTGACATGTACTTATGACAGTTGCAATGTCCCAGGGGTCGAGTGATCCCCTTTTGTGACCTTCTGATAAGCAAAGTCAATGGGAAAGCCAGATTCATTTAACAACCTTGTTATTAACTTGAAACAAATTAAAGATCAAAGTCGAACTCACATAAAAAGAATTTATGGTGTATTAGTGGAATTGGATTCAGAAACAGAATTAGTTAAAGATTGCATGGTCAAATGGGCTCAAAATTTTGATGAGCCGGTTTTATTAGAAACATGGGAGATAATTTGGGTGAGGAATGTTAAATTTACGCAAGCTCAAAATTTACGGGAAAATTTTTATAAAATGTTTTATAGATGGCACCTTGATCCACAAAAGATGTCTCGTATGTACTCAAATTTGCAACCTAAATGTTGGAGATGTGGTTGTCTGGATGCAACGTATTATCATATTTGTATTATCATATTTGGTGGTCATGTAAAAGCATAAAAGTTTTTTGAATAAAGATATGGTGGAATATTCAAAAAAATTTTAATAGAAGGATAAAATTCACTCCACAATTGTTTTTGTTAGGTATTATTGTTGATTGTGATGATAAAGAAATTATTTTAATGTTAAATTTAATCATAGCGGCAAGGTTGTTGATAGGACAATATTGAAAGAAGGAATTTTTGCCTACTTTGGAGGAATGGTTTTTTAAAGTTTCTTACTTATCTGAAATGGCAAAAATTTCAGCTTATTTGAAAGATCAATCGCAAGAGAAATATCTCTTGGTGTGGAAAAGATGGATAAACTTTATACAGTATAAGTATGATATTAAAAGATATTATTTAGCTTTTGAATAATTTATGTTTAAAGTTTAAGATAATAAGTATTTTTATTATATATATATATATATATATATTGGACTTAAAGTATTTAAAAATTTGTTGTTGTTTTTTTAATGTAATATTTATTTGAGGTTTATTTAAGTTTAAATGTTTTGTATTTTTAGTTTTAGTTAACCCTGTATTCAGCTCTGGGAAGATGGGGGGGGGGGTTTCTTGGAGGGTAGGGAGGCAGTGGGAGAGGGATTTTATTGTAAAATTGCAAAAAAATTTAATAAAAAAAACTTGTTATTAACTTAACAACTTCAGTGATTCACTTAGGAATTGTGGCAAGAAATGGGGCAAAACTCACTGAACAAATTTCCATGGCTGGCTGAGGAATTCTGGGAGTTGAAGTTCACAAGTCTTAAAGTGGCCAAGTTTGAGGACCCCCGCCCTAGGATATCAAACCACATAGATAGCTGTATTACTGTTATCCTTCTCATCTTTCCTATTACCTATTCCTTTAGCATCTTATGACTATCACTTTGTGTTTATATCTATGATCTGTGATTATTGTATTTTATGATTGTGATCATGATTTATCACTTGATGCTTGTATGTACAGCAAGAGCTGGTGCACCAGAGACAAATTCCTTGTGTGTGTATATGTATCCAATCACACTTGGCCAATAAAGAATATTCTATTCTATTCTCTTTATTCTTACCTGCTCCATCACTTCGGGGGCCATCCAGCAAGGGGTGCCCACAAAGGTTTTCCTCACTTTGTTCCGTGTTATGTCCCCACCGGTAGCTAAGAAAGCACTTACGCCGAAATCTGAACACCAAAACACAAAAGAGGAAAAGAAGAGGTTAAAAAAGAAGCATTCTCTATTGGCATGGGGTTTGTTTGTTTGTTTTTTGTTTAAAAAAGCAAAAGCCATGACTTAGAACAGAGGTGGGGAACTAAGCCCCTATATCAATGGTTCTCAACCTGTGGGTCGGGACCTCATTTGGGGTCGAACAACCATTTCACGGGGGTCGCCAAACAACGCAGTCTGCCATTCCCCCCCCCCTTTTCCTTAGCTGTGCTACTCCCTTTTAGTCTATTGGCTTTTGAAAGCCAATAGAATAGACTCTCTTGAATAGAGTCTAACTCTATTGGCTTTCAAAAGCCGATAGGAATTGTCCAGGCTGTCTCTGCCCTGCTGAGCCCCGCCAAAAGTCCCATTCCGCAAACGGTGCTGCACCAGTTGAGTAGTCCTCGACTTACGACCAGTTGGGGGTCGCGGCATTAAAAAAGTTGAGAACCACTGCCCTATATGACTTGTGGACTTCAGCTCCCAGAATTCCTCTGGGCATTGAAGTCCACAAATTATAAAAAGGCCTTATTCCCCACCTGTGACTTAGAATCATGAAACTAAAAATGAAAATTAAGAAAATAAGCAACAAATACCAGATATGCCAGTGTATAAGGCGACTTCCGCAAGCATTAAAATCGGCGCCAAAGACGGGGGTTGTCTTATACGCCGAGTCATCTTATACGCCGGAAATACTGGTAGTTTCCAGCGTATAAGACGATGTTCTAGGAATGCGACTCGGCGCCAAAGACGGGGGTCGTCTTATACGCTGGGTCGCCTTATACGCCGGCATATACGGTAGTACAAGTCAACAAGACTGAGGCCGTTAGTATATACCACATGTAGAAATGTCCTTGTGATTGCACAGATTGAAATGCTTGCTGGAAGCACCCAATGGCCAAATGTAAGACTGTTGATCTGGGTGTAGTTTCTTATTCCTACCTAGGCCTAGCCAATAACAAGTCTTCAAGTTACAATCGTAATGGAGCCTAACTGTGGGGAGAAGGAGATGACTGTTGAAACCTATGTCCCTTTTCACACTTACAACCATTGCAACATCTCCACGGTCACCTGATCAAAATTCAACTGGCAACTGGCAGGTATTAATACAGTTGCAGTGTCTCAGGGTTATGTGATCCCCTTTTGTGACCTTCTGGCAAGCGAAGTCACTGGGGAAGACAGATTCACTTAACGCCCGTTACTAACTACACGTGATTCACTTAACAACTATGTCAAGAAAGGTCGTAAAACATGGCAGCACTCAGTTAACAACTATCTCGCTTAACTATAGACTCAATTGTGGCTGTAAGTTGAGGACTACCTATACTAACAAAAGCTTTCATAAAATTTGCAGAATTAGTGCAAGTGTCTACATGTCCTTCATTTCCACCCTGACTGAACGAGAAATTAGTTGGGAGTCATGCATGCCCTCCAGGCATCCAGTCACAAGGTTTCTACAATGTCACATTTTCTCAGATTATGTACAAAATTATGAAGATGTTATTGTTCTAACGAAAAGGAAAAGTCAACTCTGTTATCTGCCACACATACAAGGTGTACAATTTTAAGTTATTACGTAAAATTACCGCAGCACACTGATTACACTGAACTTCAGTTTTCCTTTATGGATTTTTAGAATATAAAAGAAGTGCCGGATCTGTCACAACTTAAACCTCTAAATAAAAATTATCCTTAGTTCCATTTGTTGAGAAAGATTTAGTTTATTCGAGATCAAATGTACTGCAATAGTTCAAAACCAGAACTAAAAATCACGTGCCCAAATCCCTATGTTCTACTTTTCTCTCCCTTAACTGTCTCCCATTGCCCACCCCAGTGTAATTAACCAGGTTCAGAAATATGTTTTCCTTTTTTTTAAATAATATTTTAAGTTTTTTCAGGGTAGGGAGGGACATGGATCATTATGGGTAGTGGGATTCGGGATAGGGTTCAGGGAAGGGTGGGAATGGATACAACAATGGGGTTGCTCCCCATAACATTTCACACTTTATTAAGCAAACTATGGTCCGGATACAAGTATTCATTAGGGCTAATATAATAATCAATAACTGTAATCAACAAGAATAACAGAAATTATAAAACATATCAATTAAAAGAAAAAATCAATCATCTTAATAAATTTCAATTTCGTTATCTCATTTTGCTAACCACTGATAAAAGTTTTCCCATGTTTTATAATAGACTGAGTCTTCTTTCTCTTTAATCTCTAATGTTAATCTATCCATTTCTGCACATTCTAAAATTTTCCTAATTATAATCTCATCAGATGGTATATCTTCATTTTTCCAGTATTGGGCAAATGCTATTCTCGCAGCTGTCAATATATGTAATATTAAATATTCGTTCTCCTTCCCATAATTAGCCCCTAATATTCCTAGCAGAAACAATTCTGGCCTAAATTCTATATGTATTTTAGTTATCTTTTCCAGCCATTCCTAACGATCAGTTCAAGTACAGCAGTGTTTCTCAACCTTGACCATTTTAAGGCATGTGGACTTCAACTCCCAGAATTCCACAGCCAGCATTGCTGGCTGTGGAATTCTGGGAGTTGAAGTCCACATGCCTTAAAATGGTCAAGGTTGAGAAACACTGAAGTACAGGTTGGTATGTGGCCCACTCCTTTCCCAGCTGGATGACCTTGAGGCAGCTTCTCAAGAAGATACAGCTCTTACTTTTGTTTCCCAAGCATTCCCCCTTCCTTCCCCCTCCTCAGTTCGTGGCAGTCTGTCACAAGCAAGCATAAGGAGGCAGCTGACATGAAGAACATGCTTGTGAAGATAAATGGCATAAGACAGTGGTAGCGAACCTATGGCACGGGTGCCAGAGGCGGCACTCAGAGTCCTCTCTGTGGGCACATGCGCCATGCCCCGGAGATGGCAACCGTCCCTCTTCAACCAGCTGCTCGCTAACTCACCGAAGTCCCACATGGCCGGATGCATCCTAGCATGGCTGGTTTCCCTCCCCCCATCCCATCCCTCCTGGCCTCGCATGCTCTCCTTTTCCTGAGCACAACCCACTGCATCTATGCTTCTCTGAACTGCTAGCGACGGGCTGCGGAGCCCCAGAGTGCACCGGTTGAGCAGCCGGCAGGCTGTGGCTGCTGACGGACACTGTTGGCCCCTCTGTGGGGCCTCACTGGCCTCTGTGTGCGGGGGCCGATGGTGTCAGGCAGCAGCCGCCCCGGCCCCTGCCCCGCCTTGCCCTGCGGCAATGGCACCCCCACCCTGCCTCGCCTTGCCTCACCCTGCAGGACGAGCCTCCTGCCCACCGTCCCACTTGCCAGTGACCCCCTGGATCTCCCCCAACCCTGCCCAGCCCACCACAGGCATCCCTTCCCCAAGCAAATCGAGGTGACCAAGCCCACCTTGGCCACACTCACCCAGTCTGCCATGACCACCACAGCCACACCCAGTGGGCCATGCCCACCTGGCACCCAGCAATAAATAAGTGGGTTTTGGGTTGCAGTTTGAGCACTCAGTCTCTAAAAGGTTCGCCATCACTGGCATAAGAGTTTGCAGAGACATTTCGAAAAATATATATATCAGCATTTAGAGAAATCTCAGAGAATTATTTCAGCCATGAAAGAGGGCCTGAACTGAAAATTACCCTCTGGATTGGCTTTGCTACTTTCCAGATTTATCTGACTACAATTCCCATCATTTCCCAGTTGTTTTTAACTATAATTACCATTACTTTGTAGCACAACTAACACTTTCAAGCCACCGCTGGGGAGAGTTTACCATGGGTTCTCTGCCTTACGTCAGGTATATTTCCACATTTATATATGTATTGGCTAGATTTATATCTGCCTCTTCATTCAGGAGCCCATGGCTATGCCTTTAGGTAGTCCTCACTTACGACCACAAGTGAGCCCAACATTTTTAGATGGTTGATAAGTGAGCTTTGCCCCATTTTACAACGTTTCTTGCCAGATTTGTTAAGTAACACGGTTGTTAAGTAAATCAGGCTTCCTCATTGACTTTGCTTGTGAGAAGGTGGCAAAAAGGGATCACATGATCCCAGGGACGCTGCGACCATCATAAATATCAGTTGCCAAGCATCTGAATTTTGATCTTATGACCCTGGGGGTGCTGCAATGGTGTGAGAAACGGTGATAAGTCACTTTTCTTAGTGCCAATTATAACTTCGATCACTAAATGAACTGATGTTAAGTCAAGGACTATTTGTGTAATACTTCCTTCTGCCCCCTTTCCTCCCCCCCCACAAAAAACCTGCAATATAAATGGGGAGGAAAGTGCCAGGCACAGAATCTCTCTGGGAACCTCTCAGGCTGAGGGGGAACTCGAACCCAGATCTCCCCACTCCTAACCCAGCATCTTCCCCCACTAGGCCATGTGATTTCTTTCATGGAATCAGATGCCTGTTCAGTTGCAACTATTTCATAATTGCGTAATCATCAGTGCACACTACACCAAAGAACACGTATGTCGAGAGAAAAAGGACATAAAACCAGTCACCAAGAGTACAGAATGTTCTAGATTATGTAGTTCATTTAGTGACCGTCTAGATTATGTAGTTCATTTAGTGACCGTTCAAAGTTGCAACGGCACTGAAAAATGATGAGCATTTTTCAAAGTTACGACCTTTGCATCATTCTCCATAGTCACGTGATCAGAATTCAGATGCTTGGCCACTGGTTCATATTTATGACCTTTGCTATGTCCCAGATCATGAGATCACTTTTTACAACCTCCTGACCAGCAAAGTCAATGGGAGAATCAGATTCGCTTAACAACCAGGGCACTAATTTATCAACTGCAGTGATTCACTTAACAACTGTGGCAAGAAAAGTCATAAAATGGGGCAAAACTCAACAAATGCAATTTGGGGCTCAATCGTGGTTGTAAGTGAAGGATTACAGACAGTCCTTGACTTACAACCATTCTTTTAGAGATCATTCAAAATTACAATGGCACTAAAAAAAGTTACCTACAAATTT